AAACCACTTAAAACAAAAAGGGCCAAGAGCATGGCTTAAGTGGTTCAGACCCCAGTATCACCAAAAATAAAAGATAGAAGTAAAAATGATTAGGAAAGGGCAAATTATGCATATTTATTGCCTTTGCTTTTAATGCGGTTTATTCCATTTTAACTTTGTATGATTACATTTTTAATAATGGCTGTGTTTAATGAGTGGCTCACAAGATTCTTGAGAGTTTTAACCATCGGCTGTCACCAGCTGGACTGAGCCAGCTCTGCTGAGCAGGCCCGAGGGTCTCGTGTGCTATGTCTTGTGTGTGTCTGCCATCCATTCCTCGCTGGGCTGGCGCATCACCTCAGCTGGAGTGGAGGGCTCCCCACACTTGAAAGACCTCATTAATCCATCCCTGGAAGTTCATTGAAAGTCATTATTTCTCACTACTCATTACGCAGGATCGCCACCTAGCGACACACAGGAGTTTGTCTGGGGTTTTGAGGCCATGGGGCCTTTCTAACAGGCTGGCCAACTGTGTTCTCACAGCGTAGCAAGTCCTGGAGACGGTGACCGAGCCACAGGTACATCAGTGCATCTTACAGAATGGACCCTGTTGAGAGCTCTCTCTAGAGTGTGCTTAGGATTAGACAAAAGATCAGGGCCATTGCCTGAATTCTCTCAAGTTTTAGCCATGGCATCTTAAAGAGGTTAGGTGACTTACTCAGGTCACATGCCAGCCTGGGGTGGAGCCAGGCCTCAGACACAGCACACTGACTGCTAAGCCAGTATCCTCTTTCTGCTGCACACTGTCACTCCATCGGAACATATGAGTTGAGGCCACTCTGTGTTCAAAATACATGCCAGGTCTGGGGTCATGGTGGTAAACACAGGAAGACCCTGATCCTGCCCCATGGAGCCCATCGCCTTAGCAGGGAGTTAGCATCACAGTCCCATGTGACACTGTAGGGTCTGAAGGATGCAGGGGTTCTGAGAAGATATGGGGGTTGCAGGCTCTGAGGACTAGGGACAGACCTAGGAGCCAGGAGGATCAGTGTGACTGTGCTCCTGGACCTTACACCTATGCACTGTGTTGGCCAGCAGTCAAACGAGAAATCCCAGGAAAGAGTCCTGTGCAACAGAGTCTGTGAAAACTGCTAGCACAGAACAGGTCCCGCGAGGTCAATCTGTCCACACATCGTTCAGCACCAGGCAGGGGCTCCCAGAAGACACCCCAGAAATCAGAACTAACAGGAGCGTGAGAAAGAGGAAGGCAGGCCAGGGAAAGGAGGACTTCAGGAAGATACTGCCCTATTGGAACACCTTGTACCCTTGCTTAGTCACAGGAAAGAGGCAGACAGTGATGGCCTCGGTACTGCCTGCGTGTATCCATTCCTAATCCAGTAGGCAGAGCTCTCGCCACCTCGAATCACTGACACGCCTCTTTCTGTTCCCTTTGAACACAGCTCAAAGCTGCCATAGCCAGGTATGGTGGCTCATGCCTGTAATCCCAACTACTTCAGAGGTGGCGATGGAGGAGGATCTGGGCTCAAAGCCAGCACAGCAAAAAATTAGAGAGACCCTCGCACCACAACAAACAAGCTGGGAGTGGTGGCACATGTCTAGGATCCCACCTACCCAGGAGCATGGGTAGGAGGATTACAGTTCAAGACCAGCCTGGGCAAAAAGTGTGAGGCTGTGTTTGAAAAATAACTAAAAAGAAAAAGTGCTGGAGGTATGGTTTAGGTGGTAAAGCGCCTGCCTAGCAAGAGTAAGGCCTTGAGTTCAAACCCTAGTACTGCCAAAAAAAAAGACGTCCTGGTCTCTCTCCACCCCCTACCCCCTACCCCTCACCCCCCCCATGGAGTTTGGTACTTGAACGAAGGCCTTAGTTCCCAGCAGGGTAGCAGTTATCCTGGGCCTAGGACATAGGAAGTGAAGTTCCCAGGAAATTCCCTTTTTCACTTTGGCCAGCAGCCAGTTATTCTGAGGTAGTATCTCTTCTGTCTTGAGACCAAAGACCATGTGGTGGTTGTGTGCAGGCAAGCCTGCAGATGGTCCTCCTGCCTCCCTCTGACCCACTTCCTGGGACATTCCCAGTGGCTGTCTGATGACAAGGCCACTCAGAGATGCACTGCACAACCCAAAGGGGCTATCCTAGTTTCCAAAACAGCTTTATTGAGATATAATTTACATACCATAAAGTCAACCCATCGAAAATTCTTCTTTTATATTTATTATGAGATTGTTTTCTCAATTTCATTTTTAGATATCTCATAGCTGATGCATACAAACACGTTTTTTGTATATTGATCCTTATCCATATCATTTTGTTGAACTAGTTAACAGCTTTTTGGTGTATTATTTAAAGGTTGTCTGTATTCAAGAACATCTCATCTGCAAATAGAAGTATTTTCACTTCTTTTCCACTGTGGATGCCTTTTATTTTTCTTGCCTAATAGCCTTGACCACAGTTTCCACTATAGCATTGGACAGCAAGTAGTAACCACTGACCTCCTTGCTTGGTTCCTGATCTTGGAAGCAAAGTGTTGTGTCTTTAAGCAGCAAATACCATGAAGCAAGGGGTGTACCAGGGGCTCATGAAGCAGTGGCCTGTAGCAGACTGAGGCTGGGGTGCAGTGCGAGCAGGCCACACTGTGCAGGGACTTTGTAGGCACCATGAAGAGCAGAGGGAAGTTGTTAGGAGAATTTCCAGGTGGGAGGTGGAGTCAACTGACAAAAGCTGAACTAGGTGACTGTCAAGGATCCTAGAAAGGAAGTACCTAGCCAAAAAGACAGTGGCAGACAAGGCAGGGGACCGGCAGTGGTGCCTCTGGGCCTGGCTTCCCACATAGCTAATCTTACCTCTCAGGGCCTCACTGTTTGTCTTCCCACAAAGAGGTCTTATTCCCTCCCAAGGGAGACACCTTCAGCAAGAGGCGTCTGCACTCTTGGGTTCCAGAGGCCTCATCAGTCTGCACTAACCATGAGAGTCTTCCTTTCCACAGAGAGGCCAGAGTTCCTTCCATGAGCATTTCAGGGAGGTGTATGTGTGTGTGTGCAAGGGTACATGTACATCAACACACATGTACTCCCAACTATGTTCCACGGAGCCCAGCAGGCTGCAGGCTTCCTCCCTCCCTCCTGAGTGCTCTAACGCCCACCTCCTCCCCCCATTCCTTCTTGTTGGGAAGTCAGATGACTTCTGGTATCCAGACTAAGGGCTCTTAGTAATCAAATGCTGACACACACCCCATATATAGGGTGCTTAATTAAAAGCCTGCTTGCCTAGCCAGCTTTCAGAACAGCAAGCACTTCTCCAACAGAGAATGGGGATTTCCAGTGGACACTGGGTAGGAAATGATATCATGCTAGTGATCCACAAGATGGCTTTCTTCTGCCTTCAGAGAGAAGTGCTTTGTGTGTTGGCCCAAGGAGAGTGGAGCTGGTAGCACCTCTGGTTTGCTCCTTCTAGAAGTAATGGCCAAGATAAGATCCTCCCTTTTCCTTCTCCTCCTTGTAGGTATTAACAAATGTGGCCAGTCTCCCCCATGTTGAGTTCCAGCCCAACTTTTTTTAGAAGAACTCTTAAGATAATTTTCTTTTGTAAGCAAATGAACGTAGGCTTTATTTTGGCTTGTCCCTATGCAAAGTGGGAAAATCTTTTCTAGGTTTGGTTTTGGTGGTACTGGTGTTTGAACTCAGGGCCTTGTGCTTGCCAAACAGACACTCTACTACTTGAGCCATGCCCCGTGGCCCTGTTTCCTTTTTAAAATTGCTTTTTATAAACATATAGAATAGTAGTTGTTCCAGGTACAAGTTTAGAGTCACTCATAGGAAGAAGTAGTATGTACCTTAGAGACACTGTGGATGGTGAAGTGAAGGAGCATAGAAGAAACTTGAAGCTGGAAGACCTTGGTCAGTGTGACAGGATGGGAGAGATTTTTGAGGATTACGACTGGGATGGTTGTTCCTGGAATCCAGAGGGTGGAGGTCAGTGTGCTGCTCAATACCCTCCCCCAACAGACCAAGGGAATCACCCAGTCCAAATGTCAATCATGCTGGTGCTGAGAAGCCGGACAAACTCCAGTACGCGCTTATGCTCAGCAACGTTTTTATATTACTGAAAACCAGATCCACAAAGTGGGTAAGAACATTGCGACACAGTTGTGTAATGACTCCTACAAGGCAATGAGGAGGAATGAACGCCATGTGTCAACAGGGCACAGCTCAAAAACACTGAGCGAGTGATGGCACAATAGTGTTCCTTTTACACAACCCAAATCAGGCTGATGACATAGGGTAAAACAGCAAGGACCATCAACAATTACTAATGCAACATGTGGGTGGTGAATTCTGGAATGGGGTTTCGTGAAGGAGAAGTACCTTCATGCTTTTATGGCACTGGCAAAAGTACATCTCCAAAGTTGGGGAAGGAATGGTGAATACACAACTTTTGATACACTTTGTAGACTTGTGTGTGGAAGTACGACTTGTATGCTTCCTATTGTGCTAGGACCTGATGATAGCAGCTCATACTTATCAAGACCTGTGAGCTTTTGCAGCAACCTTACCAAAGAGGGTAATTTTATTCTTAGGGAGAGTTTAAGGAGTGTGCCCGGGGCCACACAGTGCCTGAGAATGGAAGTGGATTTTTTTTTTTGTATGATTATTTGTACATTTTTATTGAAGAAGTATTTTTACTTCCAAGATTTTGCTCCAAAGCCTGCAGGGATATCGTGCAATGTACAATATATGTGCTGCATAAATTTTCTCCAAATTCTCAACAGACCAATAATGAGGAAGGAGATTGTATCAATAATAAAAATTCTCTCATCAAAGGATAGCTCAGGACCAGATGGTTCATGGCTGAATTTTACCATGTATTTCAGAGAGACTTATATCAGTCCTTCTCAAACTCTGGAAATGGATTTGAACTTGAGCTAGACAGTACTGCTCCCCTCCACAGAGTACAGTTTGCTGCCTCCTGTGGGTCCCCTTCTCATCTGCTTTTGCTCTCTCTACAGGGTCCGGAGACAGACGACCAGTCGGCCAACTCCAGCAGGGGGTAGACCAAAGCCCCAGCCCAAGCCTAAGCCTCAGGTGCCACAGTGCAAAGCTTTGTATGCCTATGATGCTCAGGACACCGATGAACTCAGCTTCAATGCCAACGACATTATCGACATTATCAAAGAAGGTGAGTGCTTGAGAGCACGCAGACTCTTGGCTATGAAAACAAGTTCAAACCTGAAGGAAATTCCTCTGAAATGTAGAGAGGGAGGTCGGGCCTCAGCCTGTTTGATTAAGACTCTAGCTTCATTCTTTTGGTTGGTTGGTTGGTTTTGGTGGTGCTGGGATTTGAACCTAGGGCCTCACACTTGCTAAGCAGGCCCTCTACCACTTGAACCCACACCCAAAGCCCTAGCTCTATATTTTAATGCTTCCTTCAGCTCTGCCTTCTTTGTATCTGTTTCTTTCTCAAGCTGTTTTTCCTCGTGGTCACAATATGGCAGCAGTAATTCCTGCATTATACACCAATATCCATGATCTACTTGGCAAATTAGCTCTGCCTTATCTGAAACTTCTCAGACACTGGCCAAAAGCCTAAGCAGCATTCTGACTGGATGAAATTAGTCTTGTGCCCACTCTTGAATCAACCTCTATAGTAAGGCAAAGGGATTGCCCCTTGAGGGATTGTCCTAGGAAGGAGAGTGAGGTCTACTCCCCAAACCTCACGGCTTCCTCATAATGAAAGTAGATGAGGGGTCCATGGACTCAGCTGAGTTCTTTATTAATTTGGTAGATAAGATAGATAGATGGATGTTTATGAAAGCATAAAAAACAAAGATAAATCCTGACAATCCTGACTTAGGATGGTAGAAGAAGCACCATGAAGGAAGTGACACTCGTGTTGAATGATGGGGAAAGTTCTCTGAGACAGAGAAGAATCAGAGACTGGAAAAAGGAAGTAATGTTAAGACAACAAGCTGACCCTCCACCCAATACAGAATCTCCACCAAAGAGATGCCACAAGATGTGGGGGAAGGTAGAATTGGCCTGTTGATGGAGCCCTGAAAGTCAGGCAAAGACAATGGGGTGCCGTCGAGGTTTAGGAGCAGAGCAGAGCTATCCTGAGCGAGCAGCAGTTCCCAGGGAATTTAGTTTTTGGGAAGAGTGGCCAAAGGCAGTAACAGGAATTGTGTTAACAGATTCCTTCATCACAAGAGCTCCTAATGAAGAGAATTTAGGTCCCTGGACCAACTTCCTTCAAGCATTATTTTTTAGTTTATTAAAATGGTAAGCCAATTAAGTCCTTTCTTCAGAATAAAAGTAAGTGTTGCAACTCACCACAAATTCTGTAATGAACTCCCAATGGGGCTGGAGGCGTGGCTCAAGCAGTAGAGTGGCTGCCTCGCAAACACGAAACCCTGAGTTCAAACCCATCAAAAAAATTTTAAAAAAAAGAACTTTTAATCAACAACAAAAAAGCTAACAACCAATTAAAAAAAAAACAGGCAAATTATATGAACTGTGGAATTATGTGAACACAGAAGCTCTTCTCATTCTGACATGAACTGATCTTTAGTGCACACTGTTAGGGTGTTGAAAGTGCAGAACATATAGTATGCTATCATTTGTACACAAAAGTTTTTTAGTTTATTTATTTAGGTGATACTAGGGTTAGAACTCAGGGCCTCATGCTTACAAGACAGGCGCTAGTGGCTTGAGCCACTCCACCAGCCCTTTTTTGTGTTGGGTGTTTTTGAGATAGGGTTTCACAAACTATTTGCCTGGGCTGGCTTTGAACCATGATCCTCCTGATCTCTGCCTCTTGAGTAGCTAGCATTACAGGCGTGAGCCACCAGCGCCCAGCCAAAAATAAATAAATAAATAAATACTTGTTTATATACAAGTATTTCTGGAAGAATGTACAAAAAAAATATGTAATATATTGCTTTCCCTCAGAGAAGGGATCTGAATGGCTGTTTTCACTGTTCATCTTTTTGTATTTTTGAAAATACAAAACAACTTAAAAGGTAATAGAAGGTCCATGTGCTTTGACCTGGTAATCTATTCTATAGAATTACTTGTACATAGGCACAAAGATAGATGTACAGACATTCATTGCATTAAAAAAATAGTGAAAAATTGGGGACAAATGTCCTTCAATAAGGGATAAGTCATATAAATATCTGTGTATTTGTGATCTGCATTATACACCAATATCCAATGATCCTAGTTGATTGGGAAGATCATGGTTTGAGGCCAGCCTGGGCAAAAAATTCCCCATCTCAACCAAATAAAAGCTGGGTGTGGTACCTGCCTAGCATCCCAGCTACACAGGAGGCATAAATAGAAGAACTGAGGTCCAGGCCAGCCAGGCATCAATTGGAGACCCTATTCAAAAAAAAAATAAAGCAAAATGGGCTGAGGCATGGCTCAAGTGGTAGAGCACCTGCCTAGCAAGCACCAGGCCCTGAGTTCAAACCCCAGTACCACCAAAAAAGAAAAGTTACAGACATGGCATGATTGTGTCTGTTAAGTTTGAATTACTAAATGCAGAACAATCAGGTGCAGAATGGCCTGTTTTTTGTTTTAAATTGATTTGTGCACAGAAGATAGACTGAAAGACTACATATCAAGTAATTATTTCTGGTGAATTATTTCACTAGGGTGAAAACAGGAAGGAAAGAGTAGGAAGGACAGGCAGGAGGAAGAGCAAATTCTTCAGAAAGCAGACAGGGTCAGGAGAGGGTAACTCCTGCCAAAAAAAAAAAAAAAAAGGAGGAAGCAGGACAGAGACCTGACATCAAGTCCAGCAGCCTCACAGCTGCCCCTGTGCTGGGCAGGCCTGGCTAGGGTGTATCCCATGGGGTCCTCGCCTAAGCTACAGGCTCTTCTTGAGGTGGGATCTGAGTGGTGCCTCTCTGTGTCTGCCATGGGGGGTCACTCTTTACAACAAAACTTCTCATAACAAAATCAAAACACAGAAGTGAAAAGAACATACATGGAGCCAACAGTCACTTGCGCCCACAGGGGAAGAGCACCCTGACTCACCTGCATGCCTGTCATCTCTCTGCAGATCCTTCGGGCTGGTGGACTGGTCGACTACGAGGCAAACAGGGCCTGTTCCCCAACAACTACGTGACCAAGATCTGAGGCTCAGAGTCGGACATGTGGGGCAGAGGAGCTCCAGGCACAGACTGGGGAGGGGGACATTTGGGGACTCCCCCTCTGACCCACAGTGAGCAATTGCTTATCCAAGGCCTGGAGCTATTTTGGCACCTTCCCCCTTTGGAGGACACTGACAACTCTGGGTTAGGGACAAGGAGTGTCACTCCATAAATGATCCTAAAAGGTAGCGTGTTCATAGGAACCCAGGAGGGCAAGACAACCACCCACTAAGATTTATTTATTGTATTTATACCTGGTGAGAGGACTGCTCAGACCTTGTTGGCTCCCATCCACATAGCAGCACACTTGCTCACCAGGCCCAGGGAGTGGCTGTTGGTGACCCTGGAAAGTGCCTTTAATCAAAGAGCACATTTCTTTTGTTCCTCTTTTCCAAACCTGACACATTCCTCTCTACCACCTTCCTTCAGGGAGGACATGCCCTCTGCAGGCTGGGCTTGGCGTGAATGGGAACCCACTGTGCCAAGGCCAAGGGTAGGCTGACCTTCTGAGCCCACAGGTCAGGGTTGCTGGCTTGCCCATGCCAGGACTGCCAACAGGGAAGGGGCAGGGCACTGGGCTGTCAGCCTGGTTTTCTCTGAGTCTTCAGTTGGAATGTGGCTGGCCCATGTTGGTTTTGTTTAATGCTGTACTTATTACAAGAAGGATCTCTTTTTTTTTTTCAAGCTGTACATTTATAAATCAGATCATATACTGTATATATAAAAAAACTCAAGATGGTAGAAGCATGTATGAATGTACTAAGTAGCATTCCACTGTACTCATTCATAAAGGTAGATTTTATTACAAAACTCACACCAGGTACTTACAGACGTGCCCTCTCCTTTGCACCTACAGAAACTGTCATTGCTTTCCAGCTCAGTCCCCTCAACCCTTTTCCTACAGGTAATTTTCCTGTGAGTCCTCCCCCTCCCTCCCCACCCCACCTCTGCAACTCTCCTTGTGCTCCTAGATAAATAAAAGGATCAGTGAACTGCCTTGTTTGCTCATGGTGTTAGTTGTCAGTTGTAATTGTGTTCCTCCAAAAAAGACGTCATAGTCCTAACCCCCGTGTCTTAGGCCATTTTCCACTACTGTAAAAACCATAGCTGGGAAAATCAACTTAAAAGCAGGAAAGGCTTATTTTGGCTCATGGTTTCACTCCATGACCTGCTGGCCTGTTACTTTGGGGCCCATGGCAGGGTGATATACCAGGGCAAGAAGCACGTGATGGAACAAGGATGCTCACCTCACGGTGGCTGGGAAACAAAAGAGAAAGAGCAGGACACGCCCCAGGTGACCTAACTTCTTCCACTAGGCTCACCTCCTAAACATTCTTTCACCTCCCAACAGCACCATAGCCTGGAGACCAACCTTCAACACACAGGCCTTAAATCCAAACTGACATACTGCCCCTGAGCCCCAAAGGCTTATGTCCCTCTCACAGTGAGAAATGAATTCAGTCCCTCTCTCACAGTCTAAAGTCTTAACTGCTGCAGCCTTCCTCAGAAAGGCCAACGTTCCCTCTGTGACCAATGGCAAACTCTTAGGCTGTGAGCCCCTGTAAAAACCAGAAAGAAAATTATATACTTTCAAGATACAACAATGGGGGATAAGCATTCTTATTTCAAAAGGGAGGAATAGGAATCTAGCAGGAGATAGAACCAAAGACAGACAAAAACCCAGTGGGCAAACATTAAATCTTCCAGGTCTGGTATTTGGGGCATGTTGTGGCAGAATGTAGGCTTCAGAGGGCTTGGGCAGCCCTGCTCCATAGCCCTATGTTGTGATCCACTGGCCACTCTCTTGAGCTGGTTCTACATGCTGCCTGAAGCTTCCATATTTGTGGCATCCCTTACACCCTCCATTGTAGTTGTCCCAAGGAGGGTGAAGCTGGAGCTGACTGCTTGCTGGGATTCTGACCCAGTCATACATTGCCTGGACTCCCAGGCTTTCCTTTGAAACCTTGGTGGAAGCCTCCATAACCCTTAAACTTGTGCATGCTACATGCCAGTGAAACCAGTATCATCTGGAAGACACCAGCTTCTGCCACCTGTGCAACTTGTACTGGGGATCACTTGAACCACAGCTGCAGCAGCCTCTGTGTGCCTTATCAGCTGCCCACAGGGAAAAGAATCCAAATCCCAGAGAAACAATTCCCCTGTGCTAGGAGGGTGCTTTCTTCTCAAACAAGTCTTTAAAATGAGTTTATATTTTTGTATCTTTGAGCCTGCAATGGTGGGATCTTGCTGATTTCTGAGATGCCCTCAGTCATCTTTCCTATTGTCCCATTGCAAAGTACAAGGCTTTTTTCTAATGGCACCAATCTTATTAGAGAACACACCCTCCTTGGCAGCACCTTTAAATGCACTCTCATCTGGCCAAAGTGCAAGTTTTCCAAATTTTTCTGTTTTGCTTCTTTTTGTTCCTGATTTGCCCAGTAAACTTTGGTAAAAAGCAGCCAGTGGTACCCAGGCCCCTGCCTGAATGCCATGCTGCCTTGAAGTTTCCTCTGCCACATAAACCAGTCTGACATTTTTAAACTGGGCCTCCCACAAAGTCTCAGGGCATAGACACAATGTCTTCAAATATTTGTCAAGAAAATTGTCTCTCAACCAATTCCCAACAGAACCCTTATTTCCATCTGAAACCTTGTGAGCTTTGTCTTTTCTGTGTGCATTCCTATTAGCATTCTCCTGCCCTGAATCCTCACGAGAGTCACCCACTAAGCTGCTTACAGCTGTCTATGGTTTCTACAGCCCACTCCTCTACACTTTTCCAAACTTTTCTCATGGACTGGGGGGAGAGCTCAAGTGGGTAGAGCACCCGCCTAGCAACATGGGGCCCTGAGTTCAAATCCTTGTATCGCCAAAAAGAAGAAAAGCAAACTCTTCATGAACTCAATTCGAAAGGAGTCTAAACCACATTGCCAGTGAGAATGACAGTAACTGCCCCATTTCTCAGTACCAGTTTTCTGTTAGGCAACCCTTCTGTTGCCGAACAAATATTCCTGAGACAAATCAACTCATGGTTTCAGAGGTTTCTCCAATCCAGGATTGCTTTCTCCTGTTACCTTTGGACCTATGAAGAGGCAGGTGAGTTGCAAAGGAAGTTGCTTACCTTGTGGCAGCTGAGAAGCAAAAAAGAGAAGGAGGAAAAGGCAGGAGTCCCAGCGTCCTCTTCAAAGGCACACCCCCAGTGACCAAATTTCCTCCCAGTAGGCCCCACCATCTAAAGCCACATTTCAATATCATCACAGGCCAGCAACCAAGCCTTCAACAACAGGCCTTTGGGGGACATTCAGGACCCAAGCTATAAGCTAGAATAAGTCAGTAAAAAGTTTAGAGACAAACTGGTATATTCTTAAACTTGTTTCTATATATTTAGAAATGTAATCTGGAGGCTACTGGAAAGATCTAGGATAGATAAATAACATTTCCTTTTTTTCCACCCTAATTAAACATCTTCAGACAAAAGCCATTTTTCCCTTAGGGTCTTTAAGTCATCAGCCTACATCTCCTGTAATCTCCTGGTCTCCAGGCCTGCCAGTGTTCAGTTTTGTTTATGTTTGTTCAGTTAAACAAACATGATTAGTGCAGGAGTCATTCACCATGAAAGAACATGGGGCCTTCTGGAAGGTGCCATCCTGTCTAAAGTCAAATGTATAGTGTGTAAGCACAACCCAAGTGTACAGCAGTATCAAACATCATATAAAGATGTGACAGATCCTGCCAACCAAAGGTTGAAAGTAACCCAGATGAGAACCCTATGAGCAGGATAGACCATGGACCTCGGGGCAGAGGTGTTCTGACTTCATTTATAGACCTGCAGTCTAAAGCTGTGGGCATCAGAATCCCTTGCATCCCTCAGTATTACTGGGGATGCGAAAGAGTTTGGCTTTTGTTGGTTACAGCTATTAATATTTGCTATATTAGAAATTAAAATTAATTTAAAAAAAAATTTAATAAAAATACACCAGCCACAAGAGTAATGATATCATCACACACAATCTTCTTGGAAGAGTCCATCATATGCAACTGAGAGAATGAAATCAGGAAGGAAAAAAAAAAGCAAGGGTCCCCACAACTTGAGAACCATCAGAGGGGGAAGTGCTAAGGAATGGGGAACCACTGGCTTCCTGCAAACATCATGCAGAAGGGCATCTCTTCCACGTTTCCAAAAGCAAGACTGTGACACATGGAGAGGACAAAGGGTGAAGCCTTCTTATCAGATGGCTCTACCACCAAGAGGAGTGTCAATCCACTCACATCCCAAGGAGTTGTCTTGGCCCATCCCGATCAAGCCCTACCAGCCACCATTTACCAAGTCCAGCCCTGAGAAGCGAAGAGGATGAGGACCATACCCTGGAAACTGCACACACTGTATCCACTCATGTCCTACTGTCCAGAGCCAAGTCATGTGGCCTCAACTGCGGCGGGGGCTGGGACTGTAAACAAAGAGCTGTCAAATCCACTTATCAGAGCACCAGAGATGTGCACAAAAACAAGTGAGAGACAACATGAAAATGTATCAATATGACTTACAAACTCCGCTGGCTGCCACAGAGCATGGCGGATACATCATCCAGATTCTTCCCCTCCATGACTCCAGCCCTAACTCCATTCAGACCTTCCCAAAGTGGAGCTGGCTCTGCCTCTGGTTGTTATTGCTTCTTTTATAGGTGGTTTTCCAGCAATGGTGTCATTGGTGGCAGACTGGAGTCTGGTTTCCAGGGCAGTTGGCACAATTTGAGCCATGCATCTTTGGAGGAAAGCTTACTCTGCTCCTACTCAGCCCCCACTTTTTTACCACCATTCTAAATGGTGTCCCCTTTCTCTCCTGGCTTTTATTCCTACCAGCTAATCATGATGCCTTTCCCTCCTACTGTATGAGTGCCCCTTCTACCGGAGGGTCACATGGGTTTGGGGGTGGGGGAAGTCATCACAGGGAACCTGACCTGACTCCAAAGCCTATGCTTTTAATCAGTTTCTAATTAAACAAATATCTGAGAATTTGATAGTGTCTTGTGTCAGCCTTTAGACTTCCAATATCTCTCAAAAAATCAAAAAAAAGAAAAAAGGAAAACTCACAAATAAGTCTCAATAGCTATACATTGGTAAGCTCCTTTGATAGGCAAGCACTGCATCTAACCCGCCTTCTGTGGACCCTCATCGCCTAAAATGCCAGCAACTAAGGTTCAAGTGCCCCCTTTGTACCCCAGCCTGAGCTAAGTGCTGGCATACATTATTTAGTATAACCCCCACCTGAGGAAGACGCCCTCTGCGTCTCACAGTATGAAAACTGAGGTAGAGCTGTCACACAACTACTCAACACAATCAAACCAACACCACACCTTCAAGTCTGTGCTCTTCTATACTCTGGGCATTCCATCTCCTTCTCTAACCTGTATTTTATGGTATCACGGTCTCTACTTTCACCGCTTACTTCACTTAAGGAAGTATATCCACGTAAAACAGGGTAGTTGTATGTATATGTGTGTATACATATGTATATATGTACACACACACACACTTCAAAGATCAGTGTTCTACCACTTGAGCCATGCCCCAGTCCTTTTTTTTTTTTCTTTTTGCTTTTAGTTTATTTTTTAGATAAGGTCTCAAACTTTTGGCCTCAGCTGGCCTTGGATGGCAATCCTCGTGTCTCAGCCTCCTGAGTAGCTAGGATTACAAATTGTGTGCCTTTTAAAGGTCTTTAAAAAAAAAAAAAAAGATATCTGAAAGTAAGAATTTTCTGTCAGGGCACTTAATACTTAACTAAACAAAATACGTAATGAAAATATAAAATGGACTCCTACAAAGTCTATTTCATGGAGAGGATCTGAGCTTGAGCATCCCTGGGAGATAACATCACTTTCAGAACCAGCAAGTCTCCTTTAGTGACAGTGACTTCACTTCCTTACCATTCACTCATGACTGAAGTTGGTCTAAGGTTGCCATGGGAACAAGCTTCACTACCTCAACAATGGCTATTTATAAAACTCTATAATAGGATTTCAAAACATAAAGATACCCAATGCCGCTACTTGCTCAAAGCTCACAGTTACAGATGTCCTAGGCCAGGCAGCCTTGGCCTACTCAGGGAAGGGTGAGAAGCTGAACCTAACTGGAGCCAGGCTCTCCTCCCAGGCCGGGTGTGCTCCTAGCACCTGGAGCCCAGGACCAGACACTGGTTTTGCTGTCTTATCACACTCTCAGATGGGCAGTGCTGAGTTTGATACAAAGCTCAGAGCATCTCTGCATCTTACAAAAACTTTCAATGCTTCCCAAATTTGGTTAACTGCTTTCTCTCTAAACACCAGTCAAGATCTCACTGAACTAACAGTTTAGGAAGTTCTTACTCTAAGAGACTATGTTTATGATTCTTGTTTTTGCTTGGGTGGTTGAAGGCTGGGATGTTTTTCCCCTTAAAATACAATGTTAAAGTGTCAAGTCTTACCTTAAGGTCTTGGATCCATTTGGAGTTGATTTTTGTGCAGGGCAAGAGAGAGGGGTCTAGTTTCAGTCTGTTTATGTCCAAAGACAGCATAATGAAACCCACCAAACTCAGTATAAGGGGAGAGGAGAGGTGGTGGGAATATAATGGACGGTAGAAAGTACCCTGTACCATGTATGGAATTACAATGAAGTCTCTCATTTATTAATGTATACTAATTCAAAATATAATAAAACTGTGTTTTTAAGAAAAAAAAATGTTAAAGGGCTGGGGGTGTAGCTCAGTGGTAGAGTGTTTGCCTAGCCTGTGCAAGACCCTGGGTTCCATCCCCAGCACTGAAATAAAAATAAATTAAAAATGAACCGCTCAACATTAAATGTGATTAAACTAGCCCACATTTAACCCTTACATAGCTAAAGCAGCACAGCAGGAAAAGAATTCCGAGTTTTCACTTGAACAGGAAGTCACAGCCCACTTCCTTCTAGTGGCAGTCCTCATCAGGACTGCTCATTCTGGCCTCCCCCATGCCTTTGAGGCCCTTCACAAGGGTTACTCGGTTGACCATCGCCCTAGGAGGCCAGTGTTCCTCGGTAGGAATCAGACAGCAGATGAAGAGGTTTCAGAAGACAAATCGTCATGGTTATCCCTCATTCAAGAAATTTAGGAACTGATCTTTGCGGAGCAAGATCAGTTCTTTCCTTGAGCACACAAGGGAGGTGTGAGAATAGGTAAGACAACTAAAAAATTAGCTAGCATTTGTTGCCCTCAACGCAGAGAAACTAAAGCAGATACCTTAAAAGCAACTGAGGCCAATAGGAGAAGGGGACCAGGAACTAGAGAAAAGGTTAGATCAAAAAGAATTAACCTAGAAGGTAACACACACGCACAGGAAAGTAATGTGAGTCAACTCCCTGTATAGCTATCCTTTATCTCAACTAGCAAAAACCCTTGGTTCTTCCTATTATTGCTCATTCTCTTCAACAAAATTAGAGATAAGGGCAAAATAGTTTCTGCCGGGTATCGAGGGGGTGGGGAGGAGATGGAGGGGGCGGAGTGGGTGGTAAGGGAGGGGGTGGGGGCAGGGGGGAGAAATGACCCAAGCATTGTATGCACATATGAATAACAAAACAATAAAAAAAAATCAGTTCTTTCCATTTGAGAAAACAGCAGGAAGGTCTTTCCCAAAGCCATACGGGAACAATTTACCTGTCATTCACAATAGTTTCAAAAGAAACTAGTTAAAGTAAGCTTCCACTGATTTCTGCAGTGTAGAATACACAAATAAATACACATGGGATACTTGAAAAAAAGATCAGTAGCTTTATTTTTCCTCAATATACACTTACAAAATTAGTCCAAGAAGAGGTTTCATGAAAAAGGCCAGAGGACTATGTACAAAATCAAGAGTTCCTAAGCAGAGAGGAAAAATGCACCAACACAGCCACAGTCACCTAGGGCCTTCCCATCAGAGGAGAGGCAAGGTCTCTGATGGTCTTGGAGTTCAGCTGAGGGATTGTGCTGATCTTCAGGAGTTTGCCGCTGGCATACTTATTCTTGATGGCCTGCAGAAGTTATTTGTGAGTAAGCACATGTTAGTATAGCTCACATGTAGTCCTAGACTAATTCACTAGTACTGAAAGGCCGTGGCCACCATTTTCACATGGCTGATGATGCCCAACCACTGAAGCTTCAAGGGTTCTAGCTCAGAACTCACTGTGCCTGACCACTTCCTCCCACCCCTATGGTGAGAAACACCCCACAGGTCACACAGTGATGGGGAAAGAAATGGTTTCAAGGTCCAAGGAGTAGGCTTGCTCATGACTACCAGAGGGATGAGGCGGAAGTTCTTTGCCACACCTCAGTGCCCTCAGGACTGGCAGCAAGAACTGGCAATAAAAGTGAGTGGCAACTCATGCTTATTAGCAAATTCCGGACAACTCCTTCAGAAGTAAAAGTACAATATGCTTCCCTGGCAGGCTAAGTCATGCTGAAGTTAGGTCAGGAAGCAAATCATGTTCTGTGGTACAAATACCTTGTAAGGAACTCTGATGTCTTATAGGTACAGGACAACCCAAGACTCCTCCCTGCTACTCCTTGAAGGTGGGCCATGTGAGACCGACACCAGGCCCTTGGAAGCTTCCTGAATGGCCTCTTGCCCTCTTCTCTCACCACATTGCTCATTAAGTGCCTTCCAGTCACTGCTGCAAAGAACTCGGATGAAGGCCCTGAGTAACACCACCTGAAGACACAAGACCTCCCTCCCCACGGTCATTCCAAATGGGCTCTGGCTCCTCTCCATTACAGGCCTCGCAGCCTGGCCTGCTTGCTAAGTGCCCCACTCAGGAGGCTGGTACAAGCGTGGAGCGATCACCTATACCGCTTCATTGACTATGTCCTGGGCCTAGGAAGACAAGGATAAGCTATCTACCTTGTTTCAAAGAAAGTCTGCTTTCAGGGTTTATCGGTAAGTATGCTCCATTCCCTGTTTTTCCCAGAAAAACAGAGCACTTGTGCTAAAATAAGAACCTCACAAATGCCAATAGTATATTTGTGTACAACTGTCACCACACACACCACGATCTAAGGCTTGCAGACCTTTGGAATCAGACTACTCACAGTGAACTTGGTGAGGTTGTCATTCACTTTCACCACGTTCTTGGCCATGTGCTGCATGACTTCCCAAACCTCGCTCTCCGTGTACCCCGTGTAATACTGCTGCTTTAAGCTCTGAAACAGGCCAAGAAAGACGTGGGGAGGATGAAAGCCTCCTTTTTAGAAGAGCCTGTCTTACACATGCTGACATCACCTTCGTAAAAGCTGGAAGAAAAACTGCTTACCTCTGGAAACCCAGTGACAGCCTAACCACTTCCAGCGTGGCAGGATCCGGCCCTGAGATCGGGCCAACCTGAGACCTGAAGAGGCAGCTTACTTCTGCCCCACGCTGATCGGGGCAGGAAAACGAAGCAGAGTGAAAATAAACCAAAGAAGTGCCCCCTTCACAGTGCTGAGCCCACCCCACAAATCCCTCCATCAAAGCCAGGGCCCTCGAGGACCTGACACGCACACTTGAGGACAGGGAAAGAAGTTCAGAATTACACTTTCGGCCAGAACTGTCACCTTCCAGGGACTCACCAAAATGATGACCACAAAAGGAAAGAGGGGAAGAACCCAATACACATTTTCTAGGTCTTTTAGGAAACAGAGCTGTGCCTGTGCACATAAATGGGAATTTACAGGAAGGCACTGTAGACATCAAGGGACTGGGTACTGTTCAAGAAGGAATGCCCCACAAATGTGACCACGGCAAAATGAAAAAGTCTACAGTGTTGCCCAGCATGCTGCTGGCCTGGTTGTGGACAAGCAAGTTAAGGGCAAGGTCCTTATCAAGAGGAGAAAAGTGCGCACTGAGAGTAGTGAGCACTCCACCAGTCGAGATAGCTTCCTGAAACGCAGGAGGGAAAACGATAAGAAAAAGAAGGAAGCCAAAGAGAAAGGAACATGGATTCAAGTAAAGCTCCAGCCTGCTCTGCCCAGAGAAGCACTTTTGAGGACCAATAAAGAGGAGCCTGAGGGCTGGAGGTATAGCTCAAGTGGTAGAGTGCTTGCTTTGCAACCTGAAGCCCTGAGTTCAAAACCCCAGTTCCACCAAGAAAAGAAAAGAAAAAAAAAAAAAAAGAGGAGCCTGAGCTGTTGGAACCTAGTCCCCATGAATGCAAGGCTTATGGATGCAAGAAAATAAAAGACTCTGGACTGTAGAAACATTTTTCTTGAGAGCTGTTTGGAGGTTCTAGCAGGGGAGCACAGCTACTCCTACACCCTTGACCGAAGACCATCAGGGATGGTCGTCCTCTTCGACCGAGCGCACGGCTTTGGGAGGCACACACATGGAGTGCTGAGGGAGGAAGGGGATACCAGCCAGATCAGCCAAATCAACAGTGGCGATCAATGGGGTGACAGATGTTGCAGCCAGATCGCCCTCACATCCAAAACATTTTTCTTAAAAAAAAAAATTCAGAATTACAAGGTAAACTTGTGCTTTTGGCCAAGTTCAGAATTAAGAAGTAACCTGTGCTATCAGAAGGACAGAGACAAGCCAAGATTCTCGTTTTGGGCCCTGGGTAGTTAAACACCAGAGAACAGAAAGAACACAGAGAAGACACCAGAACCCCACCTCCTGACCTGCACTCCAAGAACTAAATTCAAGCAAAAGTCAGCTGTGGAAGGATAATAAGGCTTACCAGGTAGGAAGAATACAGACTGACTGTGTATATGTCATTCTCATATACACAGCATAAACAGTAAAAAAAAAAAAAAAAAGACAAAGTAAAATTAAAAAAAACTTCATTTTAATCTTAAAATACTTTGAGGGGAAGAACAGAGCTAGAGTAAACGCTGGACGCAATCAACAATTCTGTAGCACGTGGAATATCAATTCAGGCATCTCCAATTATTTTTAAGAAGCCTTTTCTAGAATCTAGTTTGTTTTTTTTTTTTTAAGATCCAGAGTCTAATCAAGGCACATGCAGTACTACTGGGTTTTTCTGTCTTTGGACTTCTTAAATTTACAACAACCCCTACTTTCTTGGCTTTAAATGGCAGTTTCTTTTTAAGCACAGAGGCAAGACACTTAGCATATCTGACATTCTTTATTTGTCTGGGTGTTTCCTTATGACTAAGTTTATGTCCAACCTCTCGGGCCTGAGCACTACATGGGTGACAATGCATTCTGGCCCTGGTAACTCACACTTGTAATACCAGCTATGTGGGAGGTGGAGATTCAGAATGGGCAAAAAGTTACTGAGACTCCATCTCAACCAATAAGGGGGGTGTGGTCACAGACACCTCTCACCCCAGCTAAGTGAAAGCATAAAACAGGAAGATTGTGGTCCAGGCTGCCCTAGGCAAAAAGTGAGACCCTCTCTCCAAAATAACCAGAGCAAAAAGTGCTGGAGGTGTGGCGCAAGTGGTAGAACCCATACTTTAGCAAGAGCAAAGCCCTGAGTTCAAACTTTAATACCACCACACACACACACACACACACACACACACACACACACACACACACACACACAGAACACGCGCACGTGTATGTGTAATTATGGTTTTGTGTATTTTTTAATACATTATTATCTGTTACTATCACTGTTCTTTTTTGTTTTTGAGATTGCGGGGGAGTGGGGTATCACTATGTTGCCCACACTGGTCTCAAATTCTTGGGCGCAAAAGCTCCTCCTGCCTCAGACCACAAGTGCTGGGATTACAAGCATAAGCCACCACACCAGGCTTTTATTATTATTATTATTATTATTTTGGTGGCCCTGGGGGTTGAACTCAGGGCCCTCCGCCAACCCTTATTATTCTTTTTAATACTCAAACTTAGAGCCCTTTCAAACTGGTTCCTGTGTCCTCTGATACAACCCCACTGATCTTGGAGAATTCACTTGCTTTCTGGCCACACTGTTCGAGGTTCACAACGTCCTTCCCCTGCCACAGCCCTGTCATCAGCTATCTCTTTAAGGAGTGCTAGCTCCTCATGGGTAATGGGATGGAGTTTGAGACGTAGCACCAGTTGTGCTCAGTGGTCACTGTTTCAAAGCCCTTTTATTATAAATTACTGATATTTCCCAAACAGATTTGACATTATAGGTTTTCCTTGTTTTTAATTGTTAGCAATATTGTACTACTTTTTTCTTACAGCAGAAAAAAAATGTTTTACCTTAAGAACATGAATATATTTGCTTCATCCTACAATATACATAGTTTCAGAATTATAACAGATTATTATTAACAATAAATCTACTAAGTAAACATTATGTTACTGCATTTCATCTTTGGTTTGATCTAACTATGTCCCTCTAAGGATGCACAGTCAGAATGTTGTGTTCAAGTTAATAGTTACATTGTTATTAGTTGAATTCTATCTTAAAGTTTGCAGGAAACATTTACATTATTCAAAAGTCAAAAGAGGCTGGGTATGGTAGTGTACCTCTTTAATCCTAGGATTAAAGTATGGTAGTGTACCTCTATAATCCTAGGATTAAAGAGGTACACTACCTCTCAAGCCCTTGGGAGGCTTGAGAGCAAGAGGATCAGGAGTTCGAGACCAGTCTGGGCTATATAGAGTGTTCCAGGTCTACCTGGGCTACATAGACCAAAAAACAAAGTCAAAAATTTGCATTGCATTCTGTAAAAGTCCTCTTGTTCTCAATCTCCTATCCTTTTGTCATTGAGGCCCACAGTATCCTGTTTCCTTCTGTTTTTTTTTTTTTGAAAAGTTAGCAAATCCACAAATACACATGCATATTCTTTCTTCCACAAGATGGAAACTACTATATGTAACTGTGTAGGAGAATGGCTCCACCATGCCACCCTGGCAACCTTGTTTGTATGCAGACAGGCCCTGAAGCAGACAGGCAGCTCCTCCCAAGCTTATCTGTCTTGATAAAAGGTCTTGGGATCCTCCTGCAGGAGGGGATGGCAGGCTTGGGAGGAGCTGCCTCCAAGCCCTCTCCCACGGCCCTCTCTGTCTCACCAGAGACTTTGCTTTATCTTCTCCTAGAGAGCAGGCTTTCCAATCTGCTGACCATGAAACCAACTGCTCAGCAGCGGTCTAGAATCTATTCTAGAATCAATCTAGAATCAACTGGCTCCTTGACAGCAGAGCATCCCTAGACTTGCACTGTGGCCATCAGTTCCTTTGCTTCCCTGTCTTCGTTTCTGCTGTATAAGATGAGGACTGGACTACTCATCTAAATCCAAAAGTGGTTCTTTCTACCTTTGTGAGCTAAATCAGCCAGGCCTTGGCCCTGCTGTGTCTCGTGAACTTGACAACTTGCTTGTTTCACTTAAGAGAACAGTCAAGGAATCATACGTAGCAGTTGGTTGTGGCCTTCCCCATTCTTTACACCTCTACAATGCATTTGTGTACCATGGTATAGTCAGCAGTCTCTGAACTGTTCCAAGCAGCTCTGTTTCAGGCCTTCCACGCGTATCATGACATATAGCCTCTTTTCTCCTTGGAAGTCACTACTCACCCATTTCCCCTGGCTCAGCACCTTCTGAGACAAGCAGGAAGCAGCCGCTGCTATCTTGGAAGGGTGATAATGGACCATGTCATAGTCAACGAGAGTCAGCTCCATCAGATATTTGGCTAACGTGTGCTGTTCAACATCAACCTACGATGGAACAACCAGGGACAGGAAGAGCACAGTTGTCACTGCTGCCTTGCAGAATTCTGGGTGAAGCTCTGCTTACCTCCCACCCTAATCAAGAACCGCTCTATTCCACAGTAAGTTACGGACACAGACCCCCCCACGCCTCTGCACCTAAGAACTGCTGAGATAAGCAACCAAGACTTCTCAAAGTTTTCCCCTAATTAGGTCAAGGCTTCTGGATGAGACATCCAACCAAAGTCAAAACTCCTCCCGAGTCCTCGGGGGCACTCACCTCTCCAGCTTTTGAAGCTCGCCTTAAGAAGTGCAGTGGCAAGGGTCGACCCAACTCAAACTTCAGTTCCTTCAAAATCAGAGTCTCCGTTTCTCGGATTTGGGAGCTGGTATAAGCATTATCTGTAATGTACACAAAGTCTTCAATGTTTGGAGAAAACATCTCCTCATACTTGGAAGCCAGGAGCAGAGCAGTAATTCCAACCAGTTGAAGTTTTTTCCGGGAGACTGGCTGAACCTAATTGAAAACATACATGTCAAAAATGAAGATAAAAAGAAAAAAAAAAAAGAAATGTGTCCAAAGTCACACCTAACAAGAACATTGGGGCTCTGGGCTGGAGAAGGTGAAAAGGAACCAACTCCTAGAGAAGTGCCTGTGGTCTCTGTTCATGCCCTCTTCCAGGGCACAGGAGACCTGGATTTGACAGTAGGAACTGCAGATAATAACAGATAGCATGGCCCTTATCTATTGAGTACTGACTGTGTCCCAGACACGATGCTGACATTCTAACACATTACCTCATCCAAGCCTCACAAAATTTCTAAATGCTTTTTTTTTTTTTTTTACTCAGTTACAAATGGATGACCTAAGGAGTGATTCAGGTACCAGCCAAAGTTCACCTGATTACTGAGTAGGAAAGAATCCAGGCTTGATAGAACAAGCTCCTCACAATTCTTCCTTCCCTACTCTGCTGACCTGAGTATCTGTGGCAGCCGTGACCCAGTACTCACCATGGTCTGAACTGAGATGAGGCCAAGCAAATAAGTGAGAATTTAATGGCTGGTTCAATTTTGTCCCTAAATCCTCCCCAAAAGGACACCATTATCCAGCTTGAAAAACTTTCCACAATGTTTCAGAGGCAGGGAAAAATCTCAGTCTAGGACATAAGGGTTTCTTTTAATTTCCTTTTTGTTTTTGATTTGCTTTTGAGTCAGGGTCTCATTGAGTAGTGCAGATTGGACTTAAACTCATGCTCCTTCTGTCTCAATCTCTTGAGTGCTGGGATTACAGGCATGTACCACCATACCTGGTAATTTTTTCTTTCTTTTTTTAAGCTGGGACTTTGTTTTCTTGCTTCAACTCACATTGAACATCTACACAAAACATTACTTTATTTTATTTCCCAATGGGGATTTTATATGGAAAACCACAGACTCTATAATTACTTAGGATTCTGCAATATCTCAGGACCATTATGACAAACATAATTATGACTATATTGTTTGGGCAAATCTATATGTAACCTAAACCCATATTGGGAATGTTGACTTTAAATAAATAAATCCTTATCTTTAAGGCTACTATTTGGTAGTAACATGGTAGCAGTTTGTATCTGCATCTCGTCTTTTTAATGCCTGTGTGTCAGCAGTTGATAAATATTTTGAAGATCATGTTTGCGTCTCAGTTTTTTCTTACAGGCACCTTTACTTCATATCCCACATTCTCAGACTATTTCACACATGCACACACAGCACCCTGCTGCTTTTTGGGTTGTTTTTTGATGGTACTGGGGTTTGAACTTGGGGCCTCATGCTTGTTAGGCAGGTGCTCTACCATTTGAGGCACATCCCAGCCTTCCTTGCGTCTTTAAAAAAAAAAGAAAAAAACCAAAAAACTCCCCACCTCCCTTACTTCTAGGATGATTTAACACCGTAGCTATTTAGAAACTTCAGGATTTTTGTGTCAAACTCCTCATTTTTCAGATGAGGAAACAAAACTAGAGTATTAGACTTCAGAAATGGTGATGCAGAGTTGGAAAGCCAGAGTCCAAGGTGCCACCAGTAACTAACCTTGACACCATTGGATGGTATATTTCTTGATGAATGATTGTGGTTATGCAGTGCAGCTGGGGCTCCATAATGCAAAAATCCAAAACATGAAATGCTCAGGGTGCACTGTACACATGTGTGGAATTATCACAGTGAAATCCCCTATTATTAATGTCTGATGATTCAAAAATAAGATTAAAAAAAACCTGAAATACTCTAAAATCCGAAACTTTGAGTGTTGACATGACACAGTGGAAAATTCCACCCCTGGCCCCATTCAACAAGTTGCAATCAAAACACAAGTTCACAGAATACAGTATATAAAATCATCTTCAGGCTATGTGTAGAAGGTGTCTATGATATGTAAATAATCTTAGGTTTAAATTTGGGACCCATCACCAAGACAGTTCACTTGTAATATTTGTGAATATCCAAAAATCAAAACAAAAAATCTAACAACCAAAATGTTTCTGATCTGAAATATTTTGGATAAGGGACACTTAACGTGTATTTCCCTGAGCCCTTTCCCAGGCTGACAGCCCAGAGTTGGACAGCAGTGTCAAAGGCTTGACAACTTGGTCTACTTCCCTTTTCAACACCTGAAGTTCTTTGTTGTCTCATAAATTGGCTTTGCAGGACTGGTGCAGTGGCTCAGGTGGTAGAGTGCCTGCCTAGCAAGCGTGAGGCCCTGAGTTCAAACCCCTGTGCCACCAAAAACAAAACAAATAAATTGGCTTTTGGTCTTTCCTTCAGAGGAACTCCAACTCAGTTCTCCATCCCAAAAACATAAGCACAATGCCAATGAGTCACTGATGCAGTGTCCGTGAAGCTCCGCTTACCTGTAAGAACCGGTCCATGATGGCCACACACATGTACAGAGTCTCCTGCAGAAGCCTGAATTTGGAGTGGACTTGGACCAGCCAGTCCACCAGGATGGCGCGCATACGCCCATTTATATCTCTTCCCTCTAAGAAATGGGGGTTGATGGACTGCACAACCTGTTGGCAGAATTTCAAAGTTTAAGTAGCTGACCTCATTGCCTCCCAGCTGTGTGGTGAACTCCACGTCCTCGTTTTAGCCACCCACCTCCAGCTGCCGTAGGTACTGGTAGATGTCCTTCACATAGTCGCTGCAGAGCTGTGGGTTCTCCCAGTCCTCGGTATCAATGTCCTCGATTTTGCAGAGCAGAGCGTCGGAGAAAGCTTGGCAGAGGTTCTCTTCCTTCATGGAGACATCCTCAGGGGTGGGAGAAGGACCCTGCCCCGACAGATGAAAGTACGGGTATTACTGTGACACCTCCTTACAGAACCTACAACCCACCAATACATCAGACTTTTCTTATACATTGTGTGTAGTATTTTCTGTCTACTTGTGGTAGAGCGTAAGCTGTGTAAGCTTACATTTCACTGTTTAGTTAGCTCCATCCACTAAAGCATCTCAAACACCTACATTACTCCTCACACACAGGAAACTTGACCCCCTGGGTTCAGAGGTCACTGGAGTTGGCCATTCACCTGGGCCGTGGCCTCCTCTGCAAACATAATGCTTTCTCCTCTTCAACTAGTTTACTCTAAATTGAGAAACTGGCAACTGAAAACCAAGAAAGCACATTCCGAGCTATGAATAAAACAGGAGGAAGCAAAGGCTTAGCAAGTAGATGGCCTGGGATTTTACTGTCTTATGCTGACTGGATGGTTATTTATAAAAAAATCACACACGAGTTAAAAATTTATAAAGTTAAAACAAGTATTTAGTAATGAACATATAAATAAACCATTACTTTGAAAAAGAATAAGAGGTACTTCTCAAAGTAAAACCTAACAGGATCTCTAGGCTATCCAGAATATATATTAAGTTAATAAAATATAACAAGTAAGAGAAGCCTATATAATAAAACTACTTTAGTTTATGTTAAAGTTCATTGATAATAATCTTAGAGGAAGATACAGTAACAGAACAACAAAAGAAAGCAGTTCAAAGCATGGCCTGCCCTCCTAAATCAAAGGTCTTAAACTCAGGAGGGTAACAAGGGGTAAGCAGGTGTGCCCACCACTTACTCAGAATTTCAACCTCATGTTTCTAGAATGAATAAGAATCCTGCGTAGGGGATGGGAGGGCAAGACCTGGAGGAAGATGACAGGCCAGAGTGGCAGAGGAAGCAAAGGAAAGAAGGCAGTCCTGAGAACCCAGTAGATTTGAGGTGGTGGAAGGACAGCCATGAGGCCAGGAGATGGCTAGAATGGCCTGCAAGAACTTTGCCTTGGAGCTGAGGTTTTACTAAAGGTGAAGGAAAACCATGGGAGAAGGAACTTAGCAAGAGTGACCAAGTTCAAATGTGTGTTTTAACAAGCATGAGTGGCTTCAATGTAGATTTTTCGAGGCTAAGCCTGAAGTGTGTTCTATGCAGATGGCTCCATTGGCCATCTGCCTCTGGGTCCTGCTCAGAAGCACATCTGGAAAGCACCAGGATAACACATGGATCCTTGCCCTGCTCTTAATTCAGAATCGCTTGAGAGCATGCTTTCTGGATGCCATCATAATTTAACTAGTTTAAGATCCTCCCTGAAACCCCACTCATCTGTTCAGATACTGTCTGGCCCAATGGGCTAACTATGCAGTCAGTCCTTTGCTTAGTGTCTGCGGCATGCAAAATTTAAGTAGCCATCAACAAGTTTTTAAAAGGCGTGGTGATGCTTACCTGTAACCCCAGAACTCACAAGGCTAAGACAGGAGGATGGCAAGTTCAAGGCCAGGCTGGGCTACAGAAGGAGTCTGAAGCTAGTCTTGGCTACATAGAGTACCTACTTCAAAGAAACAAAGGTACAAACAAAAATCAAAACAAAAACCCCTCACAATTTTTAAACGAGTCAGGCACAGAAAGACAAGTACTAAATAACCTCACTCGTATGTGATCTGAAACTTTTGGTCTCAAAGGATTTAAGAATAGAATGGTAGGAGGCTAGGAAAGGCTGATGAGTGGGTACTAAGTTACAGTTAGACAGGACTAAGAAATGATAGTGTGTTATTGCATAGTAGGGCAACTATAAATAACATGTACATTTCAAAAGAGCTACAAGAAAGGATGCTGAATGTTTTCACAATAAAGAAATAATACTTGAGAAAATAGGTATGTTTACCCCGATTTGAACATTATACCACGTACATATCTCAAAGCCTTACATAAGTATGATTTCATTAAAAATTAAAAAAGAATTAAAAAAAAAAAGAAAACCTTTTTTTTTTTTTTCAGCAGTACTGAGATTTGAACTCTGGTCCTCATGTTTGCTAGGCAGGTGCTGTACCACTTCAGCCTTGTGCCCAGCCATTTTTACTTTAGTTATTTTTTGAACAGGGTCTTATGCTTTCACCTGAGGCTAGCCTTGGACCACAGTCCTCCTACCTCCACCTCTAGCATAGCTGGCACACCCAGCTTGTTTATTGAGATGAGGTCTCATTAACTTTTTACCCAGGGTTGACCTCAAACTGGGATCCTCTAGATTGCCATCTCCTAAGTGGCTGGGATCATAAATGTGAACCACTGTGCCTGGCCCTTAAAAAACTTTCAAATGACCTAAGTGGTCTGCAAATAAAAACCTTCTAACTAGATTAATGAATGTGTCTGTGGGTTTTTGGAGACAAAAGAACAGTCAGATAAACCATAAAGATGAGAAATTTGGCTTAACTTGAGAAGCTTCCATTTGGGAAGAGAAAGGTGAGTGAGGTTTGAAGTTCTAGCAGTGATATCGAGTTGAGGATGTCAAGAGGATGCAAAAATGTAACTGTTCACATGAGTTTTGTTGCTTTTTGGCAGTACTGGGGTTTGAACTCAGGGCCTCACACTTAGTAGGCAGGCATTCTTACCACTTGAGCCATGACACCAGCCCAACCGAGTTTTGATAAAACAGGGTTCCTTTATTTACCAAAATGTATGATCGACAATTAAGTGCAACAAGGGAAGACCCAAGAAGAACAGCTGATTCTGCTCACACCATTCTTGATTTGTAGCCATAAACACGTACGTCTGCGCAGACACCGGCACAAGCAACTGAAGAAAGGCGAATGTAGTCACCCTGATTAGCTTTAGGAATGCAGTAGACGTAAAACTGGGGGGGTGGTAAAATAAACTCTTGTTCTCTATACTCTGTGTATTCTGAATTGTTTTTACTGTTTTATTGTTGCTTCTTGTATTATTAAAAATAAAAGTAGCCAGGCATGGTGGTGCAGGCCTATAATCCTAGCACTTGAGAGGCTGAGGCAGGAAGGTCTTGAGTTCGAGGTCAATCTGGGCTACATAATGACAGTCCTCAAAAAATATTTCAAAAAGTGAACAGTTGTGCTTTTTATTTCTCTTTTACCTGTAGTTTTTGGGTTGGGGAAAGTTAGGCCATAAAACAGTGCAGTGACTCACATCTGTAATCCTACCAAGAGGCAAAAATGGAAAGGATCTAGGCTGGGTACAGTGACTCATGTCTATAATCCCAGCTACTCCAGAGGCAAAGATGGGAAGGAATGAAGCTCAAAACTAGCCCTGGCAAAAAAGTTGAGACCCCCATCTCAATCAATAAGCTGGGTGTGGTGGCTCATATTTTATAATCCCAGCTGCACAGGAGGCCATAAGTAGGAAGACACTAACCTGAGGCCAGCCCCAGGAAAACCATGAGATCCTATCTGAAAAAATAAAGTCAAAAAGGGCTGGGAGCATGGTTAAAGTTGTAGAGTGCTTGCCTAGCAAGAGCAAGACCCTGAGTTCAAACCCCAGTGCTGCCAAAAAACATTCTGACACTTGAACAATGACAATTGCTGAATGGGAATTATTTGAATTTCCAGATGTGACTCCCCCCACTACCCAGCCGAGTACATTCATCTGACCTCTGTGGTGGTGGATTATAACCACTGTGGTCGGAAGGGCTCCCCAGTACTGTTTCTGGGCCAGTGTATTTGAGTTGGGAATAATTGTTGTTCATTAATTCCTGATAACTTCTCAGGCTAGAACATCCAGCTGTGTCTTTTACCCATGGATGTGATTTTTATAGGGACCAAGCTCCGTACTGTGTTGTTTTGTCCAAATGGTGGCCTCAATTTTGTCAGCAAGTTAGAGAAAAAAAAATATGTAATTGAGGGAACCCAGAAGGGTGGAGCCGTAAAGGTCACTAAAATAAACTATTTTTCCTTTCTTTCTTCTTGTCGTAATATTTTTGTTTTCCAGTGCTGGGGATTGAACCCAGGGCCTCACACATGAAGCATGGTGTCTATGGCTGAGCTGTATCCCCAGTGTGGCTTGGTTTTGTTTTATATTTTGATTTGGTGTTCCTTGGTGGTGCTGGGATTTGAATTCTGGGCTTCACCCTTGCTAGGCAGGAACTCTACCACTTGACCCACACCCTTTTTGATCAAGCCCTTTTTGATTTGGTCATTTTTGAGATAGGGTCCTGAATTTAATTCCCTAGTTGGCTTGAACTGTGATCTTCCTATTTATGCTTCCTAAATAGCTGGTATGACAAATGCACACCACCACACTCACACTCAATTTTTGTTGGTTGAGATGGGGTCTCTTGAACTTTTTTGCCTGGGCTGGCCTCAATCGGTGATTCTCCTAATCAGAACCTCCCTAGTAGCTAGGATTATAGGCATGAGCCACTGCACCCAAACTTTTTTCTTTTTTTTTTTTTAATTGGCCTATTCTTTCTCCTTCTCTGACTTATATAGTTATATGTACCTATGGAAAAGATGCCTTTTCCTATCATCTTCTTTCTAGCCTAAAAAAAAAAAAAAAAATCACAGGTATTTTTCACAGTGGTTTTCTGGGGCCACTTTATCCCTTAACGTTTGCTCCCTCCTTTGAGTGCACTTTCAGAAGGATAGCACCTAGGTCATCCCGTCATCTGACATTGGGTTATGGGGTGTCCAGGGTTATCTAGCATCACTCCCTAAGATTACTAATTTCGTTTTCAGGAACATAATGCCCCTTCTAGGTAAGTTTCCTCAGGCAAGAGGTCTCTTTAGCAGCCTTAATGCAATTGCCTATGTATAGTAAGTCAAGGTAGATAGTTCTCAAATATATCTAATGTCTCATTTTGAAAAATTTTAAACATACAATACGCATAAATTTTTAAGCTGGAAACAGTGAAATTATTATTGTTATTATCTTAGCACCTACAATGGTGCCTGTCTCACAGTAACTGCCTAATTAACGTATGACTCCCATGAACTTGAATACGGCAGAAGGTGAACAAGCCCATGGATCTGCTAGCATTCTTCAATTAACAGCACAGAATTTTGCTATTACCTTATTCTTAACACAAGTTTCAGTCTCAGAACTGTGGACTTCCAATTGTGAGCAAGGTCATTCTGATAGTGGATTATTTTAATCAAACCTACCAAACTTACTGAGCCTACTAAACTTATTTGAGTATAAAGAGAATTGTGTTTATGACTCAAGGTCATAACATGAAGGAACCCAAATTTAAGAAGTGCACATTCCTACATGGTTGCTTCAAAGCAGAGCTGCAGCTGTGGATATTTTTCAAAAGTTAAAATTCAGATAAAGGTACCTGGGCAGTCTAGTTAAAACCAGACTGGCTAGTCCATTAAGTGTTTGGAAATCCAGAACTTCCTACCTTTGGAGCTAACATTTCCATCTGTACTGGCTTCACAGAGGCAGTAGGCTTCAGTTGTTTGTTGACATTTGTTGCTTTGGTGGAATGAACTGGTATTTTGGTGTTCTGAGCTTTCTATAAGAAAAAGAAAAACAGATAGGGCAAAGCCAACCAGAATCGTCCCTCCATGCTGCACAGAATCAGTCACTACTATACATGGTGCCTCATGGTTGTTACCTTAGCTACTTGTGCTGCTCTGGTTGTAACTTTATTTCCAATCTCTTCTAAAACTGCACGCCTAATAGTCACATGGCTCTTAGCTTTAGGATTAACTCCTGTATCAATATTCTCCAAATCACTGGACACCTAAGGGGGAAAAAAGAGCAAAAACCAAAGTTAATGAAGTACAGAAACAATTTAAAATGCTTAGCAAATGTTAGATACTCACACTCAGAATTGCTTTGGGAAAGGTAAAATCTATTTGCGAAAGGGAAAAGGTACATTTTAAGAAATCTATTTGCAATCAATAACATCACTCTAAATTAGGTAAATCCAAAACTATAATAAATATCCTCCCACTAACTTTGAAAAATTATTTCAAGTATTAAAGCAGGCCTGAAAGAGAATGTCCAAGCTTCACAAACAAATGACTATTTCTCATAAACACCCATGTCACTTGTTAAGAGATCCCGTGGGTTAAAATCATTTGGTTAAAATGACTTTACAGAGGTTAACCAGTGTATTTAAGATGAAAAATTAAAAGGCGATGATATCAATAGTTAATATTAGATTTGATTGTTTAAAAACCCAATGTCTAAAACCTAAACTAGCTTTATTATTTGGTTCTAGAAATAAATCCTCTTGTAGACATGATTGTTCAGAAATACAGCTTTTTACAATGAATCTGTCATGACACAGACTCTTTTATATTAAAGATATTTAGAACAGCAACAGTTTTCTTGGGTAAAACAGTTTTAACTCTCAAATTCTGGTTGGATTGAAACTGTGTCGGGGAAAAAAAAAGTCAGTTGACCTTAACTGGCTTTATTGAGAATGGACTTAGGAACAAAATTTGCTAGGAAAAACAATTCATACCAAAACTTTTTTTGTATTGGTGGTAAACGTTTCATGAAAAAAAACCTGGTGTGTCCTATCCCTGAGAACTGGTGGTGGCGGGGGTTCCTAATACTAAGAACACTCCTAAAGAGGGCTTTAGCTGATCTATGAGGATAGGTTAAGAGGACCAGGGAAAACTGAAGACTTTCTTGAATAGAGAGAATTTGACTAATAACTCCATAGGATAAATTAGACAAAAAATTCTTGTTGGACTCAGACATATATGACAGACAGACAGATATAAATAATGGATTCTTGAATCGGTATTTGGGATTCAGATCTCAGGTCACACTGTTCGAGTTTTCCAGCATCCATGCCAATTTTTAAAAGTTGAAAGTACCAGGAGCTGAAGCCTGGTAATGTGGCTTAGTTTAAAATCATGTGGAAAGGAAAACTAGCAGCTTTTACTAGCCTTGTAGCCAAGACAATGGACTTCACCTGTGTCAGGGCATTCTTAGTTTTCAGCAAAAGTAAATCCAGGTATAATTCAAGTCCACAGAAAAATACCAATTGCCACTAACACGTTAATCTTTGCTAAGATAAGTAAATTAATTTGAACTCTTTTCTCCTCAAAACTGATTCAATTTATATGCAAAATTTCTACTACATTTGAGTAAAGAAATTAATTTTTAAGAGGAGAAACGCATACATTAATGAACTTGGAAGGCATAGTGTGCAGAAATAAAGCAAAATGTGAAAAATATGATAAGCAGCAATGGCTGACGCTTGAGGAAATACACAGAACAATTGAAGGCCTACCGATTTCTTCCAGGCTTTCTCCACCTGCCCCCTCCAGGGATCCTTAGTTGTCAAGGTTAGGAGAGAGTGGGAAGGAAATCCCAAGAACCTGCATTTAAATAGCTCTCTAGGGACAGTCGGGAGGCTCACTTGACAGGTGACACTTCCCAGGGGCTTTCCTACAAGTCTCCAGCCCTATGTAGGAAGGGGAATTGGGACCCGAAGAGGCCGGCCAGAGAGGACCAGCCGCGGCCCAGCCCGGGGATCTGTCGAGTCCCGGAGAGAGGAAAGGCCGCCTAGTTGGAAAGAAGCAGCACAAAGCCGAAGAGAGGAGGGACGCCGGGGGTGGGGAGCCGGGAGGCTGCGAGGCCGGAGATCCGGCAGGTGAGACGGGGTCGCCGGGCCCACTCACCGTAGGGCGTCGGAGCAGCGCCATGAGGGAAAGGGAGGCAAGAGTGCCAGCCCCGTCCAGAAATGGACGCTGACCGGATTGCGCAGGCACCAGCGTGGGCAGCACCGTTAGGGCTGCGCTCCAGACCCGCACCGCCGGGATCTTCAGCGAGGCCTCCTACTTTTAGGATTCAAATACCGCGCCGCTCGCGCCCCATTGGGCGGCTTTACGCACGGCGCGCTCTTCTCATTGGCTGAGCGGGGAGGCCTTTCCGCACACTGATTGGCGGAATCATCTTAGATGTTTGGTAGTCATAACAACCTTTTTTTTTTTTTTTAATTTTCCTGCCTACAGTTTTTGGGTTTTTTTTTAAGTTCTGGTCTGAGAGATAAACAAAAATGAACTTTCTCTGGGAAAGCGACTCTGAATTTTAATAAGACGTCACCTACGAATGTCTTTGGACGTTTGTACTGGGTGGGCGGAAGTGGAATCTAGGGAGCGCACTGGCAACGCCATTTCTGACCTTGAGTTGGAGTTGAGGTTGGCTTGGCCTGGGTGGTGGAATGAGCGCCACTGGGTTGCTTAGGGCTGCAGTATGTTAACGGGTTGAAACTCAAACGTGTACTAATGGTGGGGGAATTGTGGCGTTTACTCAACAACTAACATTCCCAGAAGGAGAGGCAAAAATGAAGTTAGAATTGACTTGCATAAATCGTGATTCAGCACCTACCTAATGCTATTTGGCGTATAGTTTGGTATACAGTAGGGACCAATAAATATTGGTCGAATAAGTGATCCTATGACGTGTACAACATTTGCAAATGAAAAACATGGTGTGGATCTGGAGGTGTGGCTCCAGCGGTAGAGTGCAAAGCCCTGTGTCCAAACCCAAGAATGACGAAAATAAATAAAAATTATATTTAAAAAAAGAAAAGGTGTGACCGAATCTTGAGCAGGAGGGTTGGACACAAAGTCTAAAGAGAACAGTATCTTTCGCCCTGGGAAAGAGAATGATGAAGATCAAGACAGGAAAAGAGGGCTTGGGGGTGGGGCTGCCTAATGGTCAGAGTGCATGTGGAAGGTCCTGACTTTGCTCCCCCAGCACTTAGGTTAAACCACCACCAAAGGTCCACTGGCAAAGGCAGTGGAATGACTACAAGAATTTGAGCAGGCTTTCCCATCACTCTTATTTTACTCTTTAACTTGGATCACTTCTTTTACTTGGGTAACCATGGACAGTGTAGTCTGAAAGCCTTTAATAAGGTTAACTGATCTGGATTAAATTCCTTCCCTTGCCCCAATCCCTGTTGGCTGTAGCATTTGTGAAGGCAGGAAAAAACAGTGGCCCAACTGGAGGGCAGTCAGGCAGGCTGGGAGGGCTGTTTCCCTTAATGGGGAGGACTAGGACTTTGGTGGTGGTGTTTGAACTCAGAGCCTGGTGGTACTGGGGTTTGAACTCAGGTCCTACACCTTGAACCACTCCACCAGCCCTTTTTTTGTGTGTGAGAAGGGTTTTTTTGAGATTGGAGCTCATTAACTATTTGCCCAGGCTCCTCCTGGTCTCTGCCTCCTGAGTAGCTGGGATTATAGAGATTACAGGTGTGAACTACCCCACAGGACTTTTACTCAGGCCATGCTGATTGGATGAGTACACCCATACAGGGGAGGGCACTGTGCTTTACTCTGCCTACTAATTCACTCATCCATTTATTTTTTGACACAGGGTTTCACTATATTGCTCAGGCTGTCCATGAACTCCTGGACTCAAGTGATCCTCTTACCTCAACTTGAGTAGCTGGAATTACAAGTGTATACCACCATGCCCAGTTAATTCAAATTTCAGACTCATCTAGAAACCTTCCTAAACACCCAGAATGTCTGATCACACTGGTTCATGGTGTGGCCCAGTCAAGTTGGCACAAAAAACTAAGCATCACAGTATTCATCTACCAAGAATACAGAATCTCTAAATTATACAAAGGTATGGAAAAGGACTAGAAATATCTATTTTGGTTCCATAAATTGTTCTCAAGTATCAATCAGTGTGACTCCGCATTTCTTGAGAAACCAGCTGTTTTGCACATAGGCTTCACCTCCTAGGAAACCCTGGTTGGGGTGGGTGACTCGAGGTGTTCTGAAGTTTGTACTACTGCATGTTCCTGCAATCCCAGCTACTCAGGAGGCTAAGACAGGAGGATCTCTTGAGCTCATGACTTTGGGGCCAACCTGAACAACATAGCAAAACCCTATTACAAAAGAAAAAACAAGTTTGTTCTAGGCATCCTAACAAAACACTGGAGCTTGTTTTAAACTATTGTGGTGGATTTTAAATGGCTACAATTTTTTCTTGCATATCCTCCAACCATACAGATGTTGTCTGTATCCTCTCCCTTTAAATTGGGGCTAACCTTGTTACTTGCTCTGACCAATGGAATGACAGAAGTGTTCCAGGTCCAGGCTTGTCTTAGGAGGCCTGGCAGTTTCTGCTTTCTCCCTTGGAGCTCCGAGTCACCTCATAAAGAGGTCTAGGTATTCCTTGTTAGAGAGATGACATGGAAAGAAAGATCCAGTGAATCAGTTGTCCTAACCATCCTAACCAAAAGCATCAGACATGTGAATGACACATTTGACATTTTTTTCCAGCAGAATGAGAAATGACAGTCATAGCACAGTGAGAGATGAGCTATGTCCACCCAGCCCTGCCCAAACAGCACATCTGTGAACAAATAAAAGTGGTGATTACAAAATAGGTAACAGATACTTGTCTTGATCTACCAAATAAGCTTTTTGTTTGTTGGCAGCCTTAGCTTCTTGGTTTCTCATATGGCCACAGTTTAGGAAAATGTAGCACAGTGGTTGGGATTTGCAATTATTTGTAAACTCTGAATTCTCAATAATTCTATTCTAGTAGCTATTTTACATAGGGAAAGTGAGTGCGTTTGCCATTTTCAGGAGATGTTTTGGAATTTGGTTGTCTCCTGAAAGTACAAGAAACCTTATGTTTATCTGGTATGGAACCATGAATCAGATGTAACTGAGTGTCTTGGGAAGCACTGAATCCAGTACTAGAGTTTTTCCCCACAGATCAAATGTCTGGAGAAGGGTCTTGACATAGGGAATAAGAAAGTTACTGTGTTTAAAATATGGACACAAATCCTTGGCTATATCTTCCTTCAAATATTGGAAGCTAATTTACCTAAAGGATAGGCTACAGTTAATGACCTTTTCCCTCAGTACTATGGATGGAACCCAGGGCCTTATACATGGTAGGCAAGTGCTCCACCAGTTAAACTATATCCCCCTACCCAGCCCTTAGTGACTCCTACTTCTAATAGAATGGAACAGAAGTGAGAATGCTTGCTCCTGGCACTTTCTCTGGGATAACCAGCTACTCTGTCATGAAGCCACTGGAGCAGCCCTAAGGAGAGGCCCCCGTAGCAACCGAGGTGTCTTAGCTAGATAGCCAGAAAGGAGGAGAGGCTGCCTGTGAACAGCCTTCAGTGAGCCACCTTGGAAGAGATTACCAGACCCAGTCAAGTCTTCAGATGACTGTCACCCTATCTATCACCTTGGTTGTAAACCTCATGAAAGACTGAGCTAGAAATGCCGAAGTAAGCTACTCGAGTACAGCTGCAATGGCTGAAGTTTAAGCCACTAAGTTTGGGGGTTTACTAAGCAACAGGTAACTATTTGATGGCTATAGATAATAACTTTGGGGAGTATGTGGTTATCTATGATTTTCTAGGAACCTAAATACAGTAACAAATACTAATAATTTGGTAGTATAGATAGCAGTTCAATAAAAGGCATACTTCATTCCTTTTTAAAGAGTTTGGGCTAGGCACCAGTGGCTCACACTTCTACTCCTAGCTACTGAGGAAGCAGAGATCAGGAGGATCCTGGTTCAAAGTCAGCCCAGGCAAACAGTTCGGGAGACCTTATCTTGAAAATAACCAACACAAAAAACAGGGCTGGAGGAGAGGCTCAAGTGGAAGAATGCCTGCCTAGCAAGCATGAGACCCTGAGTTCAAGTCCCAGTACCACCAAAAAGAAAAAAGTATCTTTCTTTGGAAAGTAGTATCTTTCACAATTCCCTTGTCAAGCACCTTTGGTATTCATAGGCTTCTGAGAACCTAAAGAAGAGAACCCCTGGGACAAGAGGTTTGGTGTGTCCCATATTATGGAGAAATTCCCAGGTATGTGAGAGGAGGGTCAGGCCTTTGGGTCATCCTTGAACTGCCAGGCAGGAAATCTGAGTAGCTTGAGTACCCCCACCTAAAGGGGCTATGGCAGAAGCCAACCAAATTCTGACTTTCCAAAACAAGACATATCAATAACAATCTACAGAATTTTAGACTTTTCAAAGCTCTCCCATACCAAGTATTAATTACAACTAAGCAAAACTGACTCATCAGAGCCCATAATAAAAATTAGCATTTTTTTCCAAATCTAATCCATCCTCTTTCATGGTAGAGCATGCAGAGATAGGCAATATGTTTGAACTAAACAAAAGCATCTTGTGTAAACCCACACGTTTCCATGTGCTCTCCATAATGGCTATCAGTAAGCAAGCCTAGAAGCAGCGAAAATACAACATAGGTACTGCACTGGTTCAAACCCAAGTACTCTCAAAAATTTTAAAAATAATAAATAGATGTCAATTTCTCCATAAAAATGTTATTTTAGAACAGAAAAGGCAAATGATTTCATATCATGTGCCAATTCAGGCCCACTGAAGGTAGCTGCCAAAAGCAAAGCATTGATCAGTACTTCTCAGAAACCAGACTGCTGTGATTGTAAGCAGCAAGCAGGCTGGGAGCTGATGGCTCATTCCTGTAATCCTAACTACTTAGCAGGCAGAAAGATCCCAAGGCCTCAGGTTCAAGGCCAGCCTGGGCAAACAGTTCACAGTACCCCATCTCCAAAATAACCGGAGCAAAATGGATTGGAGGTGTGGCTCTGGTAGAGTACTTGCTTTGCAAGTGTGACGCCGAGTTCAAACCCCAGTTCCACAAAAAGAAAAAAAAAAGTAAACACACAGTAGGGCATCTTCCACCATACTAAAAGAAAACTTTGAATTCATAAGAGTTGAAGAGGGCTGCTTGTTTGTTTCTAGTAATCAGTCACTTAAGAGTGTAAGAAAAGTGTTAGCATCAGAAACTGATCTTGGAGCCTGGCACCAGTGACTCACGCCTATAATCTGAGCTATTTAAGCAGAGTTTAGGAGGGCTGAGGTTTGAAGCCAGTGCAGGCAGTTTGTGAGACTCTAAATCAAAAATACCCAACACAAAAAAGGGATGGTGGAGTGGCTCAAGTGGTAGAGCACCTGCTTGCCTAGCAAGTGTGAAGCCCCAGACAACTGATCTTGGTTCAGAACTCTGCAACATTACCATTGATATCAAAGGCAAAAGTGTTTGGGTGGAGGGATGAACTAGAGAAGAATCGGAAGAACTTACATTCTTGAGAATGAAGCATGTGCAAAATGCACTCTATGCTCGTTATCTCATTTAATCCTAACAGCAACCTTAAAATGTAGTTTTTTTCTTTCGTAGATGAGAAACTTCAAGCTCCAATTCAAAACCCGTCTGAATGACTCCTTACTCTATTATTTCCATTATTCCAAAAACTCACATGTGGCCTGCAAATTTTTAAAGATTACAGGAGAAGAGATTATTCCCAGAACGCCTAATGACCAAAAAAAAAAAAATTTTTTTTTTAACAGTACTGGAGTTTGAACTCCGGGCCTCATGCTTGCTAGGCAGGCACTCTACTACTTGAGTCATGACACCAGTCCGATGACAAAATATAATCGGGAATTTTTTTTTTTTTTAACTAAGAAATCATTGTTCTGTGGGAACAGGATTTGAACTCAGGGCTTTGCATTTGCAAAGCAGGTGCTCTATCACTTGAGCCATTTTGCTCAGGTTATTTTGGAGATGGAGTCTATTTGCCTGGACTGACTCAAACCTTGATCCTCCCAAACTCAGCTTCCCAAGTAGCTGGGATTACATGCGTGAATCACTGGTGCCCAACTGAATATAATTCTTAATTTAAGAAAATGATAGAAATCTATGACCCATAAAAGATAGTTCAACCATAACATACCTAATGGTGATGCATGAAGATTTTCAATAAAAAAAATTTACTGTTTCTAAGGTTTTAGAAGTTAAAAATTAGGATGTATGTTCTGCAGATTTAAACTCTCCCCTTCATGAAACATTAAATGAAATATCCAGAAGAGTCTATCTTTAATTGAATTAATTAATCTTTTGAGACAGGGTCTCATTACGTAAGCACAGGATGGCCTTGAACTCTCAATCTTGCTTCCAGCTGTAGCCTTTCTAATGTTGAGATTATAGGCATATACCACCATGCTCAGCAAGATTGCATTTAAATTTCAGCGTTTGAACTGGTTAAAATTAACATTAATTTTTAAAAACAGAAATTAGAAAACTAGTTTTCTATAGTCAACTGTTATGGTTCAAACGCTAAAGATAGGCTAGTAGCTAAATTACAAAGTTACCAGTTAAGAACAGTTTCAAATATTAGTTTATCACTTGCAGAGTACCAATAAAAACAAGGATTTGATGACAAAAGGGATTTATCCCTTAAAGTTATCACTGAAATGTTCATTTTGATAACAGGATATGGAAGCTACAAAACAAAATGGAAAAATAGAGTATTCAAAATTATGGTCTTTCTTACTTGCTTGATTACTAATCACATTTCTCTATAATTAGTAGCAGCAGCTTATCAAACTACATTAATGATTCAAGTTTATACAATAAATAGTTGCATTAAATATATTTTAAAGTAACTATATGTTTTACCTACATAAAAATCAGTAGCAATTATAAAACAGGTCAATAGGTAATTATGTACATAAGATATCATGCAATACTAAAATAAAATAATCAGGGCTGGGGGCATGACTCAAATGGCAAAGCACATGCCTAACAAGTGTGTGAGGCCCTGAATTCAAACTCTAGCACCCCATCTTCCACATTTCCCCCACCAAAAAATGAGAGAAATCTATCTATGCATTTCTTATATTCTGGGGAACATGGAGAGGAGCTCATGGTATAGAATTCTTCCCATCTTATATGTCTCCAATCCCTAGGCAGGGACTCAGGGCTTTCCAGTGGTAGTCTTACATGGATCACAGTCTACTTGGCTCTTTTTCACAAGAAAATAGACCACTCTCTCCCTCACTTGTCCCTGACATTCTACAATACCTCCTGCATACTAGGCAAGTGCTCCACCACTGAGTTATACACCTAGCCCTGAAGTATACATTTTATATTCCAATTTCTTTTTGTTTATTTTGGTGGTACTGGGGATTGCACTCAGGGCCTCATGCTTGCTGGGCAGGTGCTCTATGATTTGAGACATGCCCCCAGCCCTGCATCCCAATTTCTTAAACATAACCCATCCTCTGTCTGCACACATACTGTGACAAAGCATGTTAATACTGACAATTATTACAGTAACATTTACTAATGTCAAAATGGCCTAATTGAATGAAAATACCAAATCTTGCAAATATCAATTTGAGTGAGATCACTATTTTGACTTCCAAGATGTTTAATGTAAGCTGTTTAACAAAAACTAAGTATAAAACACAAAGACAATAGAAATATAAGTTATTTATTAATCAATCCACTTACAAAGCAGGTGGCTTAATGCAAGCTTATTGACATCTTCACATATGATCCATGGGAACATGTCTTCCACATACAGACAGTGATATTACTGACTGGATGTATTTGCAATCTGGGGCATTTAAGCAGATTTAAACAAATAAAATTAGGCTATTCTGTATAAGAAAGTATCTCGATAATACGCATCCTGAAGTGGATTAAAACTTCCTCCAAAGGAGAAATGTTAGTATGTTAACTTAGCTTTATACTCTATATTATGCTGTAAATCTTAACTATAGAAATTAAAATTTTTTAAATCAGTGATCGACTCTTGGTAATGTATGAAGTGGGAGTCTATAATCATAGCAACAGTAGGTTGACAGTATAATTTGTGCCTCACAGTATCTGCAGATTTATTGTTTTCAAGTTTAAAGAGAAATAAAACAAGAGACATGTAGATTCAGCTGACTTTATTTATCTTTAAACTAATAAAAATCCCTTAAAAGTAATCCTGGGACCTTTAGAAGTTCTACCAATGCATAGATACCTGCCAATGACTGAAATTCTAAGTCTTGATTAAATGTGTTCACAAAATTAATATAAGCAGATATCTTAGCTATTCGTGCTTAGCAGAAGACTGAACAAAATTCTACATGTCTTTTTCAATTTCCCTAAAATTTTGTTAAATCTGCACGTATGTACAATCCAGCTAACTGAAATTAGTATTTAGTGTTCATCAAAGCTGTTTCACAGCAGCAAAAACTGAATCAGGGAAATAAAAGTTCTAAATGATGTAGAAAAGATAAATACAATCAGAACAGCAGTCTTAAATGTATAATATCAATATTCAGCTCTATCTGTACTGTGCTGGAAAGAAAAGGATACACCAAGAAATTTCTGTTGATCACTCTGGTGATGTGAATACCACCTGCATCTGATTTGAGTATGGGTTGCATACTGTTCCCAGTACTGAGGATGGTATTTAACTCAGAACTCCATATTGTAAATATACAGCAGCCATTTTGTCCTAATTAAGGAATGTCTTAATACACAATATTATCATTTTCTAGACAATCTTTATACATTAAACTAAAGTACATGATTGATTAAATTAAAGGTTAGTAATGGATAAAAAAAATTCATAATTTTCAAGGCTTGGTACTATGTAAAAAATAAAAAAACCCACAAAATTCTACTTACTAAAGCAGCTAATCTTGCCTGCAAGTTTAGGGTCACAAGCCCATAATATGTGCAAAGAAATGCAATACAAGGAACCATGCAAAATACAGTCAAATGATACAGAAAAAATGTCCAATCTAGGAGAAAAAAAAGCTTTTATAAATACATGAAAATCAACTGTATACATGAGTTGCAGGTCTAGCACTAGTTGTACCATACAGCAGAGCCAGCACTCTAAGTTCAAGGCTTCCAAATCTGCGCAGGTAAGTCATGCCATCTTTGGTTGACTGCAGTACCAGGAAGGATGGGAACAAGAGGGAGGGCAAGAGTTCTGAAACATGGTGTCAACTTTCACTTGGCAGCTGGGCCTCAATGTCCACTCTGCATATGGGGCACTTCTTATTGGTAATCAACCATTGGTCAACACACACTTGGTGGAAAAGATGCATACATGGAAGGCGCCTATTATTGGCAAAGAAAACAAAAAGTGAAAATTAATTTTATGGCAATTACATGCGACATTTATTGTAAAAGTAACTCTGTAGTGTTTTGAAGTTAAACATTAAATTAGCATTCTGGGCAATATAATGTGTGAATAACCACAATAATTGTCACAGCTACAGAAATAAGTTATAAAATCTCAAAAATTATACAAACAAATGGCAGCATGTTCCTGTATATTGCAAACTTTTCTTTCTCTTTGGCAGTACTGTGGTTTAAACCAAGGCCTTACACTCAACACTTGAGCCGCACCTGCAGCCCTTTTTGCTTTCATTGTTTTTCGGATGATCTTGTGCTTTTGCCCTTGTTGACCTCAGACCATGATCCTGGGGCTCCTGGGTGGGAACCCAGGGCTCACTCATAGCTGGGATTACAGAGGAACGTACTACCATGCCTGATTGCAAACATAGTGTTTAAGCAACAAGTCATTACTGTATTTGTGAAGACCTTTTAAAATTATCTCATTTAAATGACTCTCAAAAATACTAGAACTTATGTTGTAAATAAGTAGTGGTTATGTTGTCCTAATTAACGATTGTCCTAATGGGCAATATTATTTTTTACCTAGAAAATCTTTACACGTTATACTTAAATCCATGATTGGAGGTCAATAACATTGTTTTCATGAGGTAACTTTCATCTGCTTAATATTGTGACACTATTTCAGAGGTAGGCTAAAAGGAAATGGTCACTTTAGAACATCATACCAAGTTATCAATTAGAAATTGAGAAATAAATTTTCCAGATAACACAGGGCAATATTAAACCTAAGTGCAATAGGATAAAAGTTACTGACTCAAGTGTCCATTTCTATCTACAGTTAAAAATTGCTACATGCCTTCAGATTTCCTAATATTTTGTAAAATAATAATAATAGCTAAAAGGAAGTATCCCAATTATTCCTTGAACAGTATTGTTTATTACTGTAAAGGAGATTACTTTCCAAAATTATAGACCTTCATAGAAAATACAGTGTTCAAAAATCCTAGCCTAGAGCCAGTGGCTCACACCTGTACTCCTAGCTACTCGGGAGGCACAGACCAGGAGGACTGAGGTTCTAGACCAGCCTGGACAAATAGTTCACACAGACCCTGTATCTTGAATATACTAAACACAAAAGAGGGCTGGCAGAGTGGCTAAAATGGTAGAATGCCTGCCCATAAGTGTGAGGCCCTGAATTCACACCCCAGTACTACCACCCCACCCCCAAAAAAAAGCCACCAAAAAATCTTACTATGTGTGTGGTAGACACTAGGTTTTTTGGTTTTTGCTTTTTTTTCTTTTTCAACAATTAGGTCAACAAAATTGGAGGCATGGCTCGGTGGTATACTGCTAGCCTCACAAGCATGAAGTTCAAACCCCCAGTACCACCATCCCCTCAAAAGAAAAGAGAGAAGAATCAGGGCAACAATATCACCAAATGGTTCTGCAATGTGTTATAGAACCTGTTTCATGTGGCATTATGTTACATTAAAAAATATAAGCAAAACAATAACAAAACAATTACAGTAGACCTTGGTACCCTAGGGTATATAGTCCTAAAGAGATCGCCACTGATGAAAAACCACAAATGCTCAGGATGCATAAGAGTTTAGGACTGTATACCAATGCTTGATTCACTTTTTCCCATAATACTGACCAACTGCTACTAACAAACCTAAAAATTTCAGTTCAATCACTTAAATTAAAGCACATTCACTTTTACCTTGCTTTACGGGCACCATTTGCTTTCTGGGAGGCAGACTTTCACAAATTAAGGGCAAAGAAATATTCAGTACATCCACCGAGCTGCACAGTGTATGCAGGAATTTAAAAGGTTTTGTTTATGAAGTTTGTTTTTATTTTTATTTATTTTGACCATGCTTGTTCAAAACTGCACGTAATAACCCATGAATAAGGGTGGGCTTACTGTAGTTAAGAAATTATATTAAGACGGCTGGCTGGCAGAATGGCTCAAGTGATAGAGCACCTGCTTAGCAAGTGCAAGGCCCAGATGTCAATCCCCTAGTACTGCCAAAAAAATAAAATGAGAAGAGATTATATAAATAAAATGCTATCAAATAATACTGGGTTAGCATGATAACATTTTCTAAATCACAAAGTTCAAGAAGGATACAGTCCTATGAGTTGAGAGGAAATTTTAGGACAAAGTCAACTGATCAAAGGTGCTATAGGGCTAGTGAAGTACCTCAAGTGGCAGAGCATCTGTCTAGCACAACCACTACTGCCTAGACTTTGGTCCTCCCACTTAAGCCTCCCATGTAACTGGGATGACAGGAATGCTACACCATGCTCACATTGTTGGTTGAGACGGGGGGTGTGGGGAGAGAAGGGGTCTCGCTAACTTATTGCCTAGACTGGCCTCAAACTGTAATCCTCTTGATCTCCACCTTCCAAGTAGTTGGGATTATAGACATGAGTCACTGTCCCCAGCTAGAAAACAATTTTGACTGCAAAATATCCCTGGCTAAGCTATGGTGCAGTCCTAAAACATGTAGTGTATTTTTTACCCCAACCTCTTTGTTGGTAGTACAGACTTCAATCATTTTATTCTTTCACTCACTATAAGAAGCCAGTCAGAGACAGGCAACAGGGTATGGCAGGAGTAATGTTTATTTAGTTCTAGTTGACTATCAAATAAAAGCCTTCTAAGTTTTAAGGATGGATTTTAGATAATTAATATCTAGTTACCTCACATCTTCACCTTCCTCTAAAATAGATAAACAGATAGTACATTTTTCCTCTGTGTCTTCCTCAGTCCCTTCTTCCCCATCTTGTTTGCAGTGCAGTTTCCTCTGTGAGAACCAATCAGTTGTTACCTTATTAGCAGAGATGACATTATTGAACAACTGAGTAAAGTCTGCATTCATTTAAAAAAACAACAAATCAAAACAAAACAAAACCACATATTCATACACAATTTATTTCTCAGATAAGACTGTCATGTATTAATGGACAAACTATGTGACTATCAATTAAGTATTCTTTTAAGACCCTACAATAATCAGAATAAAAAGCAATCAGCAGAAATTTGTTAGAAAGCTTTCACTTTTAATCTATAATGAGGGTGATGCACTGTATAAATTCTATCTCAGTCTCATTATCAACACAGCTAAAGAAATTTTATTTTACTAATGAGTATTTCAAACACCACCTGTATAAATTAATGTTAGTCATAATATTTAGCTTAGCTAGCTAAGGACTGAAAGGACTTGATTTGGTGGCAATGCCTCATTAACACTCTTAGCAAACATGAAAAATACAAAGAACATATCACTTTATCATTATTCTCTGCATAATATAAAGCATTCTTTGTTCCTTACAGGAACTTAACAGATCTATTCCATAATTCCTACATATAGTACTATACAAAGAATGGAGAGTAGCATATAAGAAATATAAACTAAAAATCCATCAAAATCAGTGGCTAGTTAAAAAAAAAAACAAACCAACAAAATTATGGTAACTGCCACATAATGGAATTCTATATAAGCTATTAAAAAGAATATGGATGCTGGGCGCCGGTGGCTCACACCTGTAACCCCAGCTATTTGGAAGGCTGAGATCAGGAGGATCTCGGTTCAAGGCCAGCCTGGGCAAAGAGTTCACAAGACCGCCCCCCCACCCCCAATCTCCAAAATGACCAGAGCAAAATGGGCTGAAGGTGAGGCTCAAGTGGCTGAGCACTGCTTTGCAAGTGCAAAGCCCTGAGTTTTGTGGGACCCCCAGTCACACACACACAAAAAAGGAGCCAAGTGTAGTGATGTATGCCTGTGGTCAGAACACTCACGAAACTGAGCTGGAGGCCAGCCAAGGCTACATAGCAAGACGCTGTCTCTAAAACCACAATAATAATATAAAAATAAATAAATAAAAGAATATGGGATATTATAGAATAAAAAGATAATATATAAAACTATTCTTTTAAAAAGTGGAAGAAAAGTTATACATATTACAAAATGCACAAAAATATCTGAAAGAATACCTAAGAACTATTAAACTATGATTTCACTTCTGAAAAGGAAGACAAGGATTTATAGGCTAAGGAATTTCAGAGTATGTATTTTCATAATTCCAGTTTTTTTCACCATATTTGTATTACTTTTATAATAAATAATATAGTTGTTAGACTCCAAAGAAGGTCTATAATATCAAATTCTATTTATTTCAATTACAATCTAGAAGTTTCATAGATTCTTACCTTTTTGTACTTATGTGGATATGTACATCTTTCAATTGTGCCCTGGGACGCTCCACGATTGACATTTCCTAACCTTTCTTCCAAATGAATCAGTTCCTGAAAGTGAAGAATAATTAGTATTAAAAGCCAGATAATTCACTAAACAATACTGTCAATACTGCAAATATGAACTTCCATATATATAAACCTATAATATAAATACAATACTCACAAAAAAAGCTTATTTACATACAAGGTAAATGGTTGTTTATCTATGGTAAGACAAAATGGTTGCCTACAACTTTCTTCTCAGCCAACAGAAGTGATATTACAAAAGTATCCTTATAAATTAGGACAACAATATTATAGCATGGTACTATACCTATATGTAGATATACACATAGAAGATGAAACCCTTCTATTGAATTAGGGTAACAAATAAAACAACAGTTCTAAGTCACACCATCTTCAACTTCCAAACTGACATGAACATAGTAAAACTTTAAATAATATTCAAATGATCTGTTCTCTTGAAATTCAAATGAGGAAATTTTAGCTACAGAGTCAATTTCTTAGGTTTCTTTTTCTCAGAAATGCTTCTTTAAAATTCAAGTTCAGTCAACAGCATTAACGTTCCCTCATGCAGATATTTAATGGCATAGTTCTTTATCTGATATTTGTATTGATTTATTAAACTTTTACATTCCTTTATATCAGTATTTTCACTGATTCTTTTTTAAATAGTTAACTTTTCACCCTAAGATTAATATTGCTTATAAATCTTTCTGTAACCCCCAGAAGCAGTATCAGAAAATCAGACAATTTACAGCTTTCTGATTCTCAAGTACTGCCACAGTCTTGTTTAACTGTGAATGGCAATAGTGTACATATTCTATATACTGTCTCTGCACTAAAAATACCATGGCAAATATCTTCATGTATCTTATTACATACCTCAAAATTGCCCCTGAAAGGACCTCTGAATGATGTCCCATCCAATCCTGACGAAATGTAACGTATGTGAGGATAGCCTGCCATGTCAGGAACCTATTTTTAATACAAGAGATAGGCTAAGTCAACTAAAAAAGTCTTGTATTTTACTGTCAATATTGAATAATTCAAGATACTCAATGCTCTCCACTCAATTCTTAAAATTCAACTTCAATAATTCCAACTAAGCATTCTATAACTGGGTTATGTTCCTCTTAAAATATAATCTCTTATAACTTTTAAAATATAGTCAGAAGAATTATAAGAAAAAAACTGCTGTTTCAGGAGATAACAAAGTTTCTTCTACTTGATGTGTCTTGCACAAAGAATTCTGTGTATAGCTGGATGGGAGCTACTCAGAAGGTTGAGACAGGAGGAAACAGCTTGAGCCCAGCAGTTCAATACTAGCCTGGGCAACACAGCGAGACTCTTGTCACAAGACCTATGTAAAATTTTCATAAAATCTTGTCAACTTCAAAGACCTATGTTAAACAGTATAAAATAAAAATGCACAGAATTTTCCAACAAAAATTTAACTTCAAGGTAAATTGTTGTTTCATTTGGTTTGGTTGTTGGCAGCACTGGGGTTTGAACTCCGGGCCTTGTACTTGCTAGGCAGGTGCCCTACCACATGAACCATACCTCCAGCCCTTAATCAAGGTTAAGTTTTATACTCCTTCCTCTAGTTTCCTAACAACAGAATGAATCCTACATTTTGGAGGGGAGGAGGGGGCGCTTGATTGTGTAAGTAAGAGTTTTAATAGTGTTTTCCAATTTTTTTTAAGGTACAATTGCTCATTATTTGCAGATTGCTGTGAATTGGCCAACGGACTAAAATTTATTTGCAACACAAAATCAATACTTGTTTTCACAGTCATTTGTAGACTTGACAGAATGGCCAACATGCATGTTCCCAACCAAGGTTAAAGCAAGGGTCTGTCTTCTTGAATTAGCTCACTGTAAGCAAGATTTTTTTTCCGTTTTTTTGCAGTCTGTTTAGTGTTATGTTTTTCACATTTTTGGGTGCTTTTTTCATTGTTTAAAATGGTTTCCAAGCCTAGTTCTTAAGTGCTTATCTAGTGTTCCTAAGCCAAGAAGGCTGTGATGTGCCTTGTGGAGAAAACATGTATTAGGTAAGTTTTGGTCAGGTTCTGTTTTTGGGAACTCAGTGTGTGTAGCAACTATATATAACATAGCTATTGTTCAAGTTCAACTTTATTAGGAAAGGGAGGTTACGGGATAAGAGCGCCATTCTTCTGCCTTTATAAATTTCTAGTATTACTTTCTAATCTGCCTCCATTTAATCAAACGTACTCTAGCAGACTTACAGCTTTAACAGACAATTCATACGTGGCAAAGAATTTGAGCTAATTAAGCAATAGCTTCTAACCTTCAAATGGTATATTATTTAAATTACCCCAACTGTCCTTATAACCAAGATCAGATAATTCAACTTCTACACATCTCCAAGAAAAATCAGACAGGAACTCCTGCTTCCCAAATTTCTCAGTCTTCACTTAACCAGAAATTCTCAGTCTCCTTCCTGTAGTTTTTGTGTACGAGCCTCCTCATTTTAGTATTCAAACTTTACCCGTTCCTGTCTTGTTTTCTCTAGCCTGGATCTGTGCTTCATTGACCATTACTCACCTCTCTCTTTGAAGGAACAATTCCTGTAACAGTTTTCTGTCTTATAACTAAAAATAACCTACATTTCTTTCAAACCCAAATTCTCTCCTTCATCTTGGAATTATTACCAATCCCATTTCTCACTTTCCTTTCACAGCCATACTCACTGTCCATATTCACTGCCGGCTACAGTTGTGACTCAGTGATAGAGCACTTATCTAGAAAGCTGTGATCTCCATCACTACTCAAATCATTCTGACAAAAAACACCCCAAAATCACAGCAAAGTCAGATGCATTCAACACTTTTCAAACTCTGGGTTTTTTGGTGATGAGAAACTACTGGCCATATCAATTTTTGACATTATTATAACTTTATTTCTCAACTTTTTGAGAATGTTCTCAGAATCATTTATTTGAATATAATAGTCATTTTAATACTGTATTGTCATTGTCTATTCACATTCTTGTCATTTAATTCTCTTCCTTAGATTCATTATTCCTTTCCCTAGATACTTTGGAGGTCCAGACCATAAACATAACATTTTTCTGGACAAACTTGACACAAAGTCACCTCAAATATGGTATGCCTAAAACTTATTTCACCTAACTCTTTCTCCAAATCATCCAATATTCTCCAATATAGTGAATGGCATTATTGTATCTCTACTAACCCGAACCAGAAATCTGGGAGTCATCCTAAGTATTACTCAAATGTGTCCCATTATTTTTATGTCATCTGACACTGCTTTTGTTCAGGAATTTATCAACACTTACCTCTTCTGTTATGTCTAAATGAGTTTCTTCTCCCTAACCTGGAATCTATTTTTCATATAAATGAGGAAATGTAGTCTTTCTAACTGTACTCTGATTAATTCACTCTAAAAGCAATGATGCAATTAGGATATTTCCCCTTCAACATTCCTGAGTTCCAGATTCTTGGTAAAGTATCTTTACTTCATTTCTCCTACCTCCAATCCCTAATGGTGCTGAAGACAGAACCCAGAAAGCCTCACACATGGTCAAGCTCTTTGCCTCTGAGCTACCCTTCAGCCTACAGATGACCCTCATTCCACTGAGATCTAGTGGAAGTTCTTAGTCCTTATGCTATATGATACTTCATTATATATTGCACCCTCTGCAGGAACATCATTCCACAGTCAAAGATGCTTAGGAGTCACATATACTATGAGCTTCTCTGAACCTCTACAGTGAGGAAGAAACTGCTCTCTTTTCTGTCCCATATTTATAATAGCAAACTCAATAAATGTTTGTTAAACTTGTTTCATAGAACTCAACTTTGTATTAACAAAATGTGAACTTGTTCCAATCAGAAGTAGAGAATCAGTATTGTTCTTCTGTAGATTATAAATTTATCACAACAGATCCATTCTACTTATGGCAAGTTAACTAAAGCACAAGTTCTAGTGACAGAAGATCACTATTATCTTAGCATACAAAAAAGCCCCACTTTTTTTTGTCATTTTGTACATTAAGAGTACATATTACAATGCATATTATAAAGATGGATTTTAATATTATCTAATCCTTTTTTATGGAGCAAATTTCCATCTAATTAAGAGAAATGTCTCAAATCCTATGAAAACATCCTTAACAACTAAAATATCAAAGTATTTTAACAAAACATTTAATTTAGAAAAGGAAGATAACTTTTACAAGAACATGTCAGAATATTGAAACATTTTCATTTTACCATTAAAGGAAGAGCTCCTAATTGTAAGTGATGAAGTCGAGGAGGTGCATGGTAGTGGGCCAAGTGAGGATGCAATGCACCAGGGGTATAAGTAGCTGCGGTCACTCCAGCTTCAATTCCCAGTTCCCTGAGAAAGGATGGATGAGAACAGTTTAACTTCGCATCCTCCTTAAGTCTCTTTATTGTCAACAGAAATAAGGGAATGTCTGTATTTTCAAAGATACCAAGTTTCTTAATTTACCAAGTTGAGAAAAAGGTAATTTAGCCCCCAAAACTTAACTAAAAATTTCAAATTTATTTCACAAATGAAAGCTCAAAAAACTCAAAACTTTATGACCATAAGGAAGAAAGATTTGTACTTGGTTTCACATTACAAAGGAAGAAGGCTTTTGTTTATTAGATATCATCTCTGTGTTGTTGGCATCAAGGATAATTACAATAGCAAACTCTTCTATACCTTATAAAACAAGGTTAAACAAAATATTAGGAAGGGTAAAATCATTGTATATGCTAAATCTTTAATTTTACCTTCTGCCTCAAAAGTCACTGTCTATCAAGATCTCAATGACTGCCTACATACAATGGACACAGACAGAAAATTTAGGGAGTCTGGAAGTAGGGCTCAAGTGGTAGGGCACCTGCCTAGTAAACACAAACTCCAAGTTCAAACCCAGTGCTGCCAAAAACAAACAAACAAACAAAAAACAAATACAAATTGCATGCAGATCTATTTCCACCTCTTTAGGAAAGACCAGAAGCCTAGGAGAATGAAGGGTGGATTGCTTTCATTAATGGCAGAAGTTGGAGGTGGGGGAGCAAATCTAAGTACAAAGGTGGGGGTGGGTAAGATAAAGAATTTGGGGAAAATAGGATCAGATTAGGGAGTTAACTTCAGTGGTAAACACTAATGAAAATTACAGGAAAAAAAATTCAACTCTATTCCTCTCATTTATATGTGGACTCTAAAAAAAAGTCAAACTCAGGCATTAAGAAAAAGTAATACAGACTGGGTGAACTTGACCAAAGTTCATTATGTGAACATATATAAATTTCAAAATAAATCCCTTTTACAATTAATTTATGCTAATAATTTTTTAAAGAAATAATGTAAAATAAAATTTAAAAAGTCAAACTCAAGGAAGTACAGAAAAGAATGCTGGTTATCAGGTGTGGGTAGAGAGGGAGAGTTAGAAAGGGAAAAGAAAGACCTCTGGTCAGTGGGTACAAATTTTCAGTTAAGGAGGCCTAAGTTCTAGTGTTCTACTGTGCACAGCATGGTAGAAAGCTAATAATAGATTATATATTTTAAAACTGTTAAAAGAGAATTTTAAATTTTGCTACCATAATATTTGAGGTCATATATACTCTAACTTGAGTTGATCATCCCATAGTGTATTAATGTATCAAAACATACTGTATCCAATACACACAATTACTAACAATTATTTGTCAACCAAAAATGAAAATTTTTTTAAAAAGTTCTATTTCTGCTGGAGGTGATTCTCTAACCCAGAATTCAAACTCCTTTTCTATCCAGGTCTCTGCCTGCCCAAAGGCAGTGCCTCATAGTTAAGCTGGGGGTTCTGCTTTTCTGAACTACCGAAATTTCTTTAGGGCATTCCACTGCAAAGCATTTCTTCCCATACTTTCACCAGAAGCTGCTGAGCAAGACTGTGAAATAAACAAGATACTGACCAGGCAGACCTTTCTGGAGCCTGACGAGGATGTGAGGACATAGTCTGAGGCACATGAATATGATGCCCATGACCATAGTTTGGGTGCATCCTATGTGGATGGGGTGGGGGGCGCTCATGTGCCCGCCTGGAAACACAGAACACAAAAAGACCACTGGAAATAATTGAATAATTGGTTATTTCTTAATGTAGAAAAAAATTCTAGCATTTATATTATGAACATCTACAGACTAGTTGTAAAATTAATTTTTAGCAGTAAATTATAAATGCATTAATAGAAAATCATTGAATCAGTATCATTTATTAATAATTTATATTTACTAATTATTTACGATTTAAGACATTCTTATATATGAAATAAATTATGTTTATCATAAATTTAGTAATAAACAAATAGTAGAACAAGAAACCATAACCTCCTTCACAAATTTTAACTGTTCATTTTGTCCAGCACCTCGAATTCAAATATCATCTCAAGAAAAAGACAATTTTAACGTTATCTTGTAAACCTTTATAGCAGAATAACAGGAATTGAATGGAAATAAAGTTTAAAAAAAAACTAAGTACCCCAGCAAATGTCATAGAAAAAGGAAGTTATTTTATGTAAACATATAAAGCAGGAAAAGTGGAAACATTTATTTTACCCCTCTATTATAAAAACATTGAATTGTGTAACTCAGTTTGTTTCTTCTTTTCCTGATGACAGTCAAATGTGCAAATGTGAATGATCATAAATCCTAAACAAAGGACACTAAAGAAAAGTTCAGTCTCAGGAATTCATGTTTATACTCTAAGTCTTTTCTGTAAGTTTCTGACACATGCACAAATTTTACTTTGTAGCTACTGAAGGATAAGACTGTTAAGTTGGCAACTTTCTACTTAAAGGGTTATATTAGAATGGCAGCAACAGCTTCTGGATAAAACATTAAATTATTTAACTAAAGATAGAACTAAGACAAATGCTAGTCCATAAATTAGATTAAGAATTTTGTAAACATTTTATGTAAATTATGGGTTAAAAGGTAATTTTTTTTCATTTCTATGGTCTCTGATGCAATTACTCAGTAAGCCTTTGTCATATGAAAACAGCCACAGACAATAAATGAAGGAACAGTATAGCTGTTTTTCAATAAAACTATTTATGAAAACAGGCAGCCAGAATCAGACCAACAAGAATTTGCTGCCCTGAATTAGAAAATCAGATCCTAAATTCTGAAAAGAAAAAGTTCACTTAAAAGGTCTTTCATAAATTTGGGGGAATATTTTAATATTTAAATGCATAAATGTCATTTTTTGAAAATTTTATTAGTATTCTTCTGTTTAGTGAGATAAATCAAATTAAATCTTCAGTATCTTTAGATCATGTTCTTCAGGATCAACTTTAACATCAATATTTATTATGGCATATTGCAAAAACAGACTTAAAAGAAATTAGTTTGCTTAAACCAATTATGACCATTAAGTCATACACCTAAAATGCTTAAACTTATTTTGCCAACAACTGTAATTCAAGATTATGATAAAGAATTAATTCTGGGGACTGGAGGAGTGCCTCAAGTGGTAGATGCTTGCCTGGTAAATGCGAGGACGTGAGTTCAAACCCCAGTACCACCAGAAAAAAAAAAAAAAGTTGATTCCACGTTGCTAATTTAGCTCAGCGGTCACAAGGTCTTCAATTCGATCCTCAGCACCACAAAACAAAGAAAGAATTTCTTAGTGAACCAAGGATTTAGCATAGTTACATTGCTTCTAAAGACTTCATGGTCTTAAGGGCAAAGGGTGTGGCTCAAATGCTACAGCACCTGCCTAACAAGCAAGAGGCCCTGAGTTCAAATCCCTAGTACCAGTGGCGGGGGTGGAGAGGTTTCCTTAGTTTTAAAGATCAATGGAAGTGAAAGGAAAAGCAGGCATGGTTTTCTTTTAAAAAACAGGAAACATACGTTGGATGTTGCATCAACCTCCTCCTTTGAACTTCCATCCTCTGCATCACTTCATGAGGGTGCAGTCTCTGTGCTGGAGGCGCAGCGGCTGGAATATGGTGTGAAATCGGCTGGTGTGTGGGAGGAAGATGCTGAGGGATTGGTGCAGCTGTACTAGGTAAGTGAGTCGGGGGTGGGGGAGCCACAGGATGAGATGTCGCATGAGAAGATATTTGAGAATGGAAAGCATGTACAGGATGAGGAATAACATAATCCACTTGAGGTGCAGGCTGAGTCTGAGGAGGAGGGTTTCCATGAGAGTGAGGGCAAGCAGAAGCTTGATGGTGAAGTGGTCTTGTCAAAGAAGCATCTGCAAGAAAAATGTTTCACATTAATATGCATAATAGTTTTACTTCATTCACAGCATTACAACACTCTGTTACAAGAATGCACCAAAACTTTTTGAAGAAATCCCCACTGATAAAAACTGGAAGTAATCCAAATGCTGTGGTAAACATCTGTGTATATCACTCCTCTGTGCTTATTCTCTTTCATATTCATGTATGTATACACATATATGTGCTCACAGACCATTTTTGTAGCATAAATTCCTATGAGCAAGTATGAGTTTGAAAGAACAACTTAAATTCAGATACAAAACGCCCTTTCCAAAGACTGCCTTAATCAAGGCTTCCATCAACAATACACAATCACTACATTTTTCACAGTGTGGTAGTGCACATTGTAAACCCAGCAATTGGGAAGAAGAGACAGAGTGATTCCAAATTTGAGGCAAGCCTGGGGCTACAGAGCAAGCTCAAGGTGAGCCCGTGCGACTTAGTGGGACCTTGTCTCAACACCTCCCTCAAAATAAAGAACCCTGTATTTTTAAAACAAATGCAAACATGAGAATAATCTTTTGCTTGTGGGCCACTGCTATTTCGTCTTCTCAGCATTATCTACTTCTATCCTCAGCCTATTGTATTATTCACCTTTTTCATATAAGTGTTCCTTGTACATGGAGGAGGCTTTATCGTAAGAGGGTGTAAACACTTTTCTGAGTTGCCTTTCATTTTTGGCAACACAAAACCTTTTGCTTTTCTGTAGTCAAACTGTACTGGGGACACAGCTCAGTGAATGAGCATTTGCCTAGTATGTGCAAGGCCCTAGGTTTGATTTGATGGATACAGCCCCGAGAAATGCAAAAGAAAAAAAAACTTGGGGACAGACAGACAGACACACACAGACACACACACACACACACACACACACAAGCACACAAAAAACTATGTGTTTTTGTTATTTGAGACAGGGTCTTGTTATATAGCCCAGACTGGCTTTGAACTTGCAATTCTCTCTCGCTATACCCAGCTTCAATTATAATTTTATAAAAATATCTTACTTTTTTTCTTTTCTTTCTTTTTTTGGTGGGACTGGGATTTGAGCTTAGGGCTCCATGCTTTTCCACTTCAGCCACACCTCTAGTCCATTTTGCTCTGGTTACTGTCTTTTGGAGATGGATCTTCCAAACTATTTGCCTGGGTCAGCCTCAAACCACAATCCTCCCAACCTCAGCCTCCCAACTAGCTAGGATTATAGACATGAGCCACCAACATCCTGCTTTATCTTACTTTTTCTTATGATTTACTGGTTAAATAGAGCTACACAGAAGCTTGACTGGGCACAACTGAAACAAAAATATTCTTTTTTTTGCTGCTCCTCTCTTTCCGTTCCCCTCGCCCCCATTTCATTTTTCCTGTGCTGCATTAAGGAGTCAGAGCTTAGTACACGGTTCAAGTGGTAAAGCACTTGTATAGCAAGTGTGAGACCCTGAGATCAATCTCTAGCACAGCCAAAAAAAAAAAAAAAGTCGTCTTGATTTCTCCAAATTGCATTTCATTAGACAATATTCTTGGTAGTCTGGCATAGAGCTACAGTTATTCTCTACTTTTATTACAGAAATTTGAAGGATTTTCTTTTCCTTCAAATTTTAACACTATTGATCCATGCAGCAGCAGTGATAGCTAACTTTCGGTGAAAGCATAACTCAGGCAACTGTATTTTCAAAGGAAGTTTCTTAGCATGTATCTAAAGGAAACTTCCACAACACTCAATATAATTTGTGGTTTCTATGTGTTTAACCAAAATCAATGCTTTACTCTTTAAAAGGAACATAGCCTAGTAACTTAGGGTCATAAAAACAGGAGTCACCATATTTTATCACTGTCACATTTTTTCCAACTTCAAAATTTTCTATCACTACAATCATTATGCAAGACATATTACTCACAAATGTTACAAAATCTTATTGTTTACTTTCAGAATGTATCCACTTATTGAACTCTTTAGTTAACATTAATTCACTGATGTTTCATTGTCTTGTTTCATTTTGTTTTTGCAGTACTGGGGTCTGAACTCAGGACCTCACACTTTCTAGGCTGCTTGAGCCACTCCACCAGCCTTTTAATTCACTGTTTATCTAAACAAAACATAGCTAACCATGTAGAAGAGTGGCATATTGTAAGTTCCATCAACCATTTCCATTCCTTTTCAAATTTATGTGTGTTTTGCCATCTTAGAAAAATTTGTATAAAACTATATGATCACCTATCAATTTTGCATAAAATAGAATTTTAATTACTTTTGAAATTGCTTCCTAAAAGTGCAACATGAAGCTGTTTCCACATCATACTCTAATTTGTGTGTGTGTGTGTGTGTGTGTGTGTGTGTGTGTGTCTGGGGTTTGAACTTATCACTAAATTCTTACAGTATATGCACTTAATGATTAATAATTAGTCCTTGGCAAGCATGGTGGCACACCCCTTTAATCCCAGCATGGTGGTAGCTGAGGTAGGAATCATGAATTCTGGGCCAGCGTACGCTATACAGTAAGACCAGTTTCAACCCCCTTATCCCCAAAAAAATGATAAACAGCCTTATTTATCTTAGCAGTACACCTTAGTAAGAATGCCAAGTACAGTTGTTTTAATGCTTCATCAAGATCATACACTTTTCAAAAGCAAAGACACATTTTCTTATTGCAGTAGTGCTACTGGTATGCAAACAGTTCACTTGGGTTAAAGTTTCACAATTTATAGCTAATCGGAATTATTCCTAGTTAACCAATATGAAGAATCTGAGGACAAAAAGATTTAACAATTTGCCCAAAGACACTAGGCTAATTAATCAGAGCTGGGAAGCTGACCCAGATCTATCTAATTCTAAACCCAGTGCTGTACTACACCATGGTTTTCCCCAGTTCAATTTAAACAAAAGTTTAAGAACTATATGCTTCACATCTGAATTAAAGCAAATTCCAAGCGTTTTAAAAAAGAGTATGGGGGAGGGGTGTGTGTGTAAACTCCACTTAGGAAAAGAAGTGTAGAGCACAGTTATCACAAGGGAATACAATTCAAATTTCCTACCTTCATTCTCATTCACAGACCCCCAATGAGGAGTAAAAACTGGTGCAACCCCTTGGAGAGAAATTTAACAGTATTTACTTGAAAGTTTACTTCTTTGACACAACAATCTCACTCCTAGGAAGTTATCCTATAGATAAGACTCAAACAACTACAAACAATTTAAAGGTTCATCAACAGAGGATTGATTAAAGATATAATGAAATATTATGAGGATGTTAAAAAACCAGTAAGGAGGAGGAAGCAGAATAAAAAGCAACCATTGACCTGAATTTTTATGTGCTCAAATTTTTATGGAAAAAAATCCAATGCACCATTAAATTAAAAAAAAAAGAGAGGCAGAATACTATGTGTGATATGGTTTCATTTTTTTTTCTTTAAAGATATACATATATAATGTGTATTTACAAAGAAAATTTCTGGAAATTTTTACAGTAAGTTTTAAAAGTCTTGCTTCTGAGGAGTAAGATTAGTGAGCTAGAAGAATGGGCTTTTGACTTTTCATTTTATAACACTGCAAAATTCAAACTTTTAAGAAAGAACATGAAACACTTTTACAATAAAAGTAAAACAAGTGTTAAGTCTAAATCATTAATTTTTTATTAGTACACTTTAAAAGTATAATTAAAAATTATAATTTGTTTTAGTATATTATTTTTAAAGGGGAAGGACAAGAAACCACACACACTAAAAAGGAACAATTAAAGGTGAACACCAACAAACATTATAAAACAGCCTATATATCATATCAGTGTTCATGCACAGAATTTGCCCACTGGCCAAAGCTTGCAAAAACTAGCAGTGTTTCTAAACCTGTTTTCCAACTTATACTTCATGTTTTAAGTTGCATTATAGAAAAGGTACGTAAAATATCACCAGTTTCACTATACAAATTCAGGCTGATTCCAGCTCTGTCTGCACAAGGGTAAAAATTTTTTAAATTTTTGGAGTGGAAAAAGAAATTCAAGAAATTACTTACTGCATGTAATAAGAACATAAGATAAATTTCCTTGCCATCTTCCTGGTTTACTCTTGACATAAATTTTCAGCATTTGTTGTCAAAGTATTTATTAAACTTATAATCTAACAAAATAATAAATGTTACAAGGCCCAAGCATATTTATCATTTCTTACGATAGCTAATGGATTCCAATTCTTTAGAAAAGCCTGCCCGGTCCTATTTTAATTGCCGTCACCAAATGAATATAAGATCCTTTTTCCAACTGGCATTCTTTCAAGAACTCTCTTTTATACCTCAGTTAATTTGAAAATTCTTAGACAAAATTTATTTTACTGTGTCTAGAAATATACTAAATGTTCACATATCTTCGGTTACTCCTAAAAAATAAATCATCTTAATTCCTTAAAACTTGCTTTCACAAGAATATATGGTGCCATGCAATGTACTTCAATTTCATACATTTTAAAATGGGAAAAACACACCCCACTCTTAAGCCAAATAAATACTGAAAATTTATGAATTAGGGTTAATGAAAGGTTACTGCACACAGAAAACGCACAATGCTTCATTTCTATGCTACTGGGTTTTGTCCATTAAATTTATACTTACAAGGAGGTGGCATATAATGCCGACACGATGAGAGAGAGGGCTGTGGAGGGGGCTGGGGCTGGGGCTGCGCAACCATGCTTGATCCATAGCCATCTATGGATAATGGCTGACTCTGGGCGGCAGCAGCAGCCTGATGGCCAAAGATTGCAGCTCGGGATGAAGACACAGGGCAGCAGGGGTCAAATGCAGATGCTCCGTGAAAACCACCACTTCCATGACTTCTGATACCACTGTTGCTCAGGTCTACTGGCAATGCCTGCTATATAAAGAGGAACTAAATTTTATTGTCCTAAAGTTTTGTCAAAACACTAGTTTAGCTGGGCACTGGTGGCTCACACCTGTAATCCTAGCTACTCAGGAGTCTGAGATCAGGAGGATTGCGGTTCAAAGCCAGCCCAGGCAAATAGTTCAAGAGACTATCTTGAAAAACCCTTCACAAAAATAGGGCTGGTGGAGTGGCTCAAGGTAAAGGCCCTGAATTTAAGCCCCAGTACAGGGGGAAAAAAAAAAAACACTAATTCATGTTATAAAACCTAGAAAAAGAAAATCTTCAAATTAATTTGAAAATGGTGATTCTTAGTATAAAGACCCATTGAACACCAGGAAAACAATGGACATCCTGGATCGTAAAAACTATAGTGGTTTTATACAAAAATTTAACACCAATTTTTAAAATATCAAGCATAAGATCATATAAGGTAAACAAATGTTTAACTGACATATTACTTTAAGGTCTATTTCTCTTACACTGTCTACATCTTAGGAACTTTAAAATCCCACTTATATTATTCTCCTTTATTTAGGAGTCCTTAGAAAGCATATCATCATACCACCGAAAAGATTAAAGGTCTAAATAAAAACTTGTTCATCCCAACTTTTTCTGTTATCACAAGCATTCAACTAAAATTCTATAGTACAAACAATCTATGTTATTAAAAATAAAAACAAAGTGCATGAGATTATTTAGGCCAAATCATGAATTAGCTTTACCTCACTTAACAAAACATTAACATTTAGTATGGACTGAGACATGGCTCAAGTGGTAGAAGCCTGTCTAGCAAGTGCAAGGCCATGAGTTCAAACCCCAGTACAGCCAAGAAAAAAAAAAAAATTAAGTCAATGATTCCTTTTACTAGGAATATGATTTGGGGGAAGGCTCAGTTACTAAATTAGAAAGTAAACCAGAATTTAGAACCTATCTCCACTCATCAGTGACTAAGATTTTTTCCTCAAAAGTATTTTACTTTTTAAAAATTTTTTTTAATTTATTCTTTTTTAATTTCATTTTATCGTTTTTACATTTACTCACATATGTATACATTGTTTGGGCCCCCCACCCCCACCCCGGATTTTTTGAGGCAAGAGTCTCACTGCCCAGCCTAGCCTCAAATTTATACTCCTCCTGTCTCAGCCTCCTCTAAACATTTGAAAAGTCTTACATACAAGTAGAGTAACTACAGCCTACAATAATCTATGGTAGCTTTCAAAATGACTACAAAAGAAGATCCTTGACATTCTTAACATGCAGAAATGGTAAACAAGATACAAATGCTAATTATCCTAATTTGATCATTACACATTGTACACATGTATCAAATGACTGATCTGCACCCCATATATACATACAATTATGCATCAGTTAAAAATTTAAAAATCTTAAATAAAACACCTTCACTTGACCCTAAAGCAGATTACAGAAAAATCGCTTCTTTATATTCTTAAGTAATTTCAATACATACCCACTTTGGGTTCCTGATAGCTGAAATTTTCAAAATGTGATTAAAGGAAATAAATATTTGACATCGCATATGGAATCACACGCAGGAAGTGTTCAACACTGGAAGCAGACGAAAAGAAATCAAGAAAGCTAGAGTAATGATTTATCAGAGACTCAGATCACTAGCCATCCTCTTTTTATTTAAGATGGGCTCCAGGATCAGGGGACAATAGAAATAAAAGGAATTCTAGATGCTAAAAGAGAGGAGAGGGTGAAGGTACACCATGTGCCTGCACTTAAGTAAATGGCCTCTTCCTAATGAGCTGACAAATACAATGTATGTCCTCAATTCAGGAAAATAAGATTTAAAGATAATATTGTGAGATTGTGAATTTGTTTATGGTTCAAATACTTTCCATTTTTTCCCTACTGCTTAAGAGTAAAATTGGCAAATGGACTGGAATACCAGCATCCTAAAAAGGTGACTAAGTTTCACCTTATGTCTGTCTCTATTCAGTATATAGGAGACTATAGGTAGGAGAATGTGGTTAAGAGGCTGGTCCCAGGCACAAAGTGCCAAGATACCCTATCTGAAAAATAAACTAAAGCAAAAAGGACTGGAGGTGTAATTCAAATGGTGGAGTTGGTGCCTAGCAAGTGCGAAGCCCTGAGTTCAAACTCTAGCATGGGAAAAAAAGGAAAAAAAGCCAAGTACAAGAGAGTAATAAAGGAACCTGATGAGTAAAGTGACTAGTGCAACTTCTCTGACTGTAGGCCTAATCTTTCTTGGCCTATCTACAATTTGGACTGAATCATAAGACAACAGCACAATCACAAATCCTCAGATTGGTTTGATTACTCCATTCCTTGGCTTCTTGCTACACCCAAACAGGTCTCAAGTACAGACTAAATGAAGTTATCTCATGGGCATCTGGCTAATTTCAGAAGTCTCCAAATGTCTATAAAGTCACAAATTGTTATCTTCAAAACCTCACTCTGTTCACTTTCATACCCATTATCACCACTAAATGCCTAGGATCCTGCTGATTCTTCTCAAGTTTTATTTGAAGTCATTATTTAAAGATGAGGTAAACAGACTCCATTTATTTTACACTGAATAGAACTGGAAAAGATATTCTACCTGGTTCAGGTTGAAAGGAAACATTATATAATATATAATAGGTGTATTACCAATTAACTCAACAACAAAAAGTTCTGATTGATCTTACTGCACCTCTTTAATGAATGCAGAAGCTAGTAGACCCACTTCTTCATCATTTTCCCACAATTCTTATAAACCCTCTTTTCAATTCAAATTGCTAGTAAAAGGAAGTTTTACTTTCACAAAGGCTTTTCATTCAGTTAAGTTTTTCCTGATGGCTTCTTCCAAGAGGGAGAGCAGACTCAGACACCAATTAATACCTTGAACTGTTACCAGAACCAAAACATCTAAAACCTTGCTAATCATATTTTTTACTAAACCCTTTCAAGTTTCTTCCTGATACTGGCTGCTAACTTCATTTTTTTTGGCGGGGGGGGGGGGGGAGAACATTCCTCCTTCTTCATTATTTTTAATTAGTAAGAACCAGAAGAGACAGCCACCAAAATTTAAAAAGATGGAACCAATTTAGGAAGGGTCAGGTGATTCAGAAAAGCAGTTGCTCTGAATTTTCTTTTTTGACTTTGTACTCCCAAATTACTTGTCAAAGTAACAACTTTTCCCTGAAATATCTTTTGGCTTATAAAGCACGTTAACACCAAGGTCTGCATCACAATTATATTACACACACACAACCCAGCAAAGGCTAAAATAATACATGCCTTCATTTACTCCATGTGATCACCAAAACTACATTAATTTTAGTCTACATTTTAAGCACCCACTAGTAATATCTACTAATTTACTCAATTGTAACGTTTTAACATTTTAATCCTCTAAAATTAAAAATTTCATCTGTTCCTAAGAAATTTTATCGAAGTTTGCATCTGAGAAAGCTGTTCATTCTTTAATGTATGAAATATAGTGAGCTTAGAAGTAGAAATAGAAAAGAAAAAATTAGAATTTTCCATTTTCTTACAAATTAGGTTAAGATTATAGTTTTAACAATGTTTGGAATACAATCCCAAAGATCAGATTCACCTGCATTTAAGTAAAAATATCAAAAATCATTTCAGAATAGAAAAGTGATTTTTAGATTATGGGTGATTTTCCATATTCTTGCTCCCCTTAATTATTTGCAATAATTTAGATCACTGGAAAACCCTAGAGACTTAATTTTTCAAAAGGTCAAAGACCACTAAAAATCAGGCCATTTTTTGCATGCAAGAATGACTTTAATTTGGTTCATAAAACTTAGCATTAGGGTTTTTGTTCTCTTCCAGAAGGCACCACAGTTTAAAAAGGAAGGAAAGAAAGAAGGGAGAGGGAAAGACTAACTCATCAAAATCCACATACCTGATCATGGTAGCTGGTGCCAGAAGTACTATTTGCTCCACAAGGTGCTTGTACTTGTGGAGGTCTTTCCACAGGGCAAGTAGGTTCATTAAATGAAGGAGATACTGGAACAGCTGGATGGGAAGTATGGTGGTGGTGGTGGTGATGTTGAAAATGGTGGCCATGCTGCTGAAAGCAACTTGTGTGTGGATGTCCTAATGCATGGTGATTCTGTGATGACCCTCCACACGGTGAGTGCTGGGGACAGCAGGAAGGTAACCTTGGCATTGCAGGAGGGCCAGTTTCTGTTACAGCACTAGATGCAGTTCTCCTTGAGTCATCTTCAAACAGAAACAAATGCAAAGAATGATCAAATCATGAAATATCACTATGTAAAATAAGTATTGTGTATAGATGACCAAAAGGATTAAGAAATGTTTTAGTAAATACAATATAGTGCTGCATGTTTAACATACACATTATATAATTTTGAGCAGTGATCTTCACTGGAATTTTCCTTGAAGTTTAAATTCTTCAGGAGATTTCCTAATTTATCATAATGTATAAATCTGGCAATAATGCTCTTTTCCTAGGCAATGTAAAACACAGACATGAAAATCAAAGTCTTGGTCTTTAAAACAATTTACAATATTATCTGCCTTTGTTATTTATCTCTAGCAACTGGGAATATGCCTGTACAATGTAGGTGGCTCAATAAACATTTGCTAAATTTAAGTTAACCTCAAGAGGGAAAGAGAGGCATGGATGCATATAGCTAAAATATTTGACTCTTAAGGAGCTCATCATCATGTATGGAAAAAATTTAGGACACTTATCACCAATATTCAAACAGATGCACTGGGTTCTAGTACAACACAGAGCAACACTAACAAATATAAGCTATTATTATCTACTAGTGTGTAAACTCTATTGGGATGAAAATTTATGTTTTGTTCTACTATGAAAAAAATACAAATTTCGATGCTAGAAAAATGTCTGATAACATACCACATAATCAATAAATAAATGCATAGTTCAAGGAACACATGAAAGGTCAGGCAAATGGGCTATTTTAAGCATCCTGAGTTTCAGATGACTGCAGAATGGTTCAGGGGAGTTGTCCAAGAGGCAGCTGAATATGAAAGTTTAAAACAAGGACAGTGGTCTATAAACATAGACTGGAGAATCATCAGGCTACAGTAAGAGATGAAATCACCTGCAGCTATGAGACAGAGCAGTGAGAATGAGATGAGAACAAAGTCCTAGGAAGAAAACAAATATCAAAAGATTATCATCAGATTTCTAAACAGCATGTTTGTTCATTCTGAAAGAAGTGAGAAGCACTTTAGAGGCAGTATTTTAGGCCAAAAATACATTCACAAAGTATACACAAAAATAATACAAGTGTATCTGTGCATGTACTAAGGAGTGGAACCAGTGAAGATGCCAAAGACACAGAGAACCTAATCGTTAAAAGCTAGAAAGTAGAACAAAGACAAAGGAATTAGAAGGCACAGGAAGGAGTTAGGAGACCAGGTGGTAGGAAAGAAAGATAGGCATAAATACACAAATGTTTTTACGGAGGCATCAGAAGTTGCAAGAGTTCATGCTTGAGAGCCTTTACTTTTTTTTTTTCTATTGTCTTTTAATTTTTCCATGGGAAATAAAAGTTTTGAGGAAAAGAAGTTCTAGAAAATGACTGAGGGAAAGGAAAGGGAAGTGGTCAAGAAATATAACGCTATGGTGATTTACTACCAGAAACCCAAGTTGAGAACCATAAATTTATGGAGGCAGCAATCTGGTTATATGATCTTTACTACCACGGTTTAGGAAGTCAGTTAAAGCAAAACTATTTGGCTTGAGTGATTCAAGGTTAGAAATCTGTAAGAGGGAAGAAGGACAGGTCACAGATGAAAACATAATGAGTTGAAGCTCAATATGGTCTTAGAAGGAAATGAAGAAAGTAGAATTCAGAGCTATTCTGTATTTTGGCTACCTATATCTGCTTCTATCAGGTTAGTATCGAAGAACAATTTGACGTGACAAGGTAATCCTTGTATAGAGAAATACAACACAAGCAAGTCAAAGATAGTTAACAGTATATGGTAACACCAAGAGAGAGCCTTTCATGTCAGCCATTGGTGGCTCATGCCTGCAATCCTAATTAGTCAAGGAACAGAGATTAGAAGGATCAAAGTTTAAGGCCAGTCCCAGCACAAAAAAAAAAAAATCAGGCCCAATCTCAAAAAAACTCAGCACAAAAAAAGGATGGCAGAGTGGCTCAAGTGATAGAGTGCCTGCCTACCGAGTGTAAGGCCTTGAGTTCAAACCCCAATGCTGACCAAGATATAGACAGACAGACAGACTTTCAGGACTACAGTAAAGTTACTACCTAAAAAATTAAATGAAAGGTGTGAGTGAACAAGCATCATAAAATAAAGACATACATAAAATATATAAAGAAGTTTTGGGACTATTCTGAAACATAGCTGGGACTATATGACATAAAATTTAGGTAAGAATAAACTACATAAGGGTACCAGGAAAGAGAAGTGAATAAGAAGAGTTCAAACCCTTGACTCAAAGAGTACTACTACTGACTCTGAGCCAGTATTTAGCTTTCCAGATTTCTTCATATGTAAAATGGGAAAAGTAATGCCAACATCAAGAAATTTTTGAGGATGAAATGGTAATACAAAAAATAACATAAAAGATATTCAAGTCAAGTGCTAGAAAAAAACAAGCACTAGAATGAAATAAAAGCCCATTGCATTTCTAACCACATTTTTTCAGAGAATGTGTTATTTAAGATATGCCTGGGAAATCTCCCTAAGGATTTTTCTTAATTCTACCTTTAGTTTTCCAGGGAAGGAAGTCCTTCCTAATTCAGACACAAGTAATTTTCCAATCTGCTCCATGTAAGTTACAAAGATAGTGTAAGAATTAAATGAGATGCTATTAAAAGTAAAAGTGTATAAAAGAAAGATGTTTTCAGTAATCATAGTGCAATATAGTCGATTTAAAAGCTATCGAGTCTACAATGTCCTTGCTAGTAAGCATTTTTCTATTTTTGTACTATTGTAGTATTGTTCAAAAGACAAAGAAAGCTAGCTTAAGGCTCAGTTAAAAAGCCAGAGAAAGAAAGGGGGGGGAGGGTCGGGGAGGAGGACAGACAAGAGAGAAGAAGGGAAAGACAGAAAAGAGAACTGTTGACTGAAACATAAGAAATAAAGTGAGATAGAAGCTGAAGTATAGCTCTTCAGGGCTGGGGATGTAGCTCTGTGGTAAGATATATGCTTAGAGTGTATTAGGCTCTGGGTTCAAGCCCTAGTACCAAACATAGGAGTAAATTCTTTGTGACCATGAATTAAGCAATAGTTTCTTAGCCACGATGCCAAAAGAACAAGCAACAACAACAAAATTGGAGAAAACAGACATCATTAAAATTTTTGAAACTCCCATCCACATTTTCCATTATTTGGGGTCTATACCTAGGAGTGGAATTTGTGGGTCATATGATAACTCTATGTCTTAATTTTTTGAGGAGCAAGTGTTTTCCTCAGCTGCTGTATCATTCTGTGTTCCTACCAGCATTTCACCAGGGTTCTAATTTCTCTGTACCTTGCCAGCTTTGGTAATTCTACGGTCATTCTTCATTAACTTATCTAGTAGGTGATAAGTAATCACGTATCTCATGTGGTTTTGATCAGTATTTCACTAATGACTCATGATGCTGAGCACCATTCCAGGTGATTCTTTGGTCATTTGCATATCTTTGAAAATATGTCTATTCAGTCACTTGCCCTTTGTTTTTACAGCACTGAGGTTTGAACTTGGGGGCCACATGCTTGCTAGACAGGTGCTCTAACACTTGAGCCACTCTTCCAATCCTTTCTTGTGATAGTTGTTGTCAAGATAGGGTCTTAAGAACTATTTGTGCAGGGCTGGCTTCAAACTTTAGCAATCCTCCTGACTCCTGAGTAGTTAGGATTACGCATGAGCAGCCAACACCCAGCCCCTTTGTCCCCCTTTTTAAACTAGGTTTTCTTAAGTTTTAAAGGTTTGTTTATATATTCTAGATACTAGAACCCTTATCAGATACATGATTTACAAATGTTGTCCTTACATTCTGTAGGCTATTTTTCACTATTTTGATAATCTTTTGATTGCTGATAGTTTTTGATGCACAAAAGTTTTAAATTTTGATAAAATCAAAATTAACTATCCTTTCTTTTGCTGCTCATGTGTTTGCTGTCATCCATTACCCTTCTTCAAGCTCTCTTAGATCAGCTATAATACTTTGGTCACATGTAACACACAAATTCATATATGATATGATAGTCTAATTAATACTACTTTGCTCTCAGATGAGATCTATTAAAAGGTAAACACACCCTTGCTAATATAGCAAAAATCTTGAAAAGATAGTATTTTTCCTAAAAAAATATTAACGATAAAAAGTCCCCCCAACACACACATTTTTACATACCTCCTACAGAAGAACCAGTTGTACTATTGCTTGTAAGAGTAGCTGAAGTCTCTGATACTGTGGAAGGTTGGCTACTGGTGACAGCTGAAGCAGAATCAGAGGCTTGCTCAGAGGTAGATGGGTTTGAATTGTTAATGGAAGCGGTAGTAGTTTGTGATTCCATTCTCGCAGAAGTGGTTGGTACTACAGTAGGTTCTGCAAAATACAAAATGTCTACTTAGCATTTCACAAGATTAAATAAACTTTCTAAGAAGTATTATACATTGTAAAGAAATTTTTCACTGGGGGATGGTGGCACATGTCTGTAATCCTAGCTCTTGAGAGACTGAGGCAGGAGGATCATGTGTTGAAGATCAGCCTGAGCTACACAGTAAGTTCCAGGCCATTCTAGCTACATAATGAGACCCTGATGCAGAAGAGGAAGAGGAATAAAAAAGAAGAAGAAAGCTAAACTATAACATCAAACTGTCATGTTACTAAAATATGACTCTTGCATTTAAAATCTCTTAACACATATATGTGTGACTACAAAACTTTTCAGGTAAGGTCGAGGGTGCAGCTCAGTGGTAGAGTGAAGCCTAGCATGTATGAAGCCCTAGACTGCATCCCCAGCAAAGAAGGAAGAAAAAAGGGAGCTAAAAAAAAAGGATTTCAGGCAACTATCAAGTTGTGATCTATCACAAAAAAGAAAAAGAAGGCTAGTGGAGTGGCTCAAGTGGTAGAGCCTGCCTAGCAAGTGTGAGGCCCTGAGTTCAAACTCTAGTACTACCCAAAAAGAAAAGAAAAAAAAAAAACAATTCCTATGGCTGGTGGAATGGCTCAAGCAGTAAGAGCACCTGCCTAGCAAGTGTGAGAGGCCCTGAGTTCAAACCCCAATGCTGCCAAAAGACAAATAGAAAAAAAAAAAAGAAGAAGAAGAAAAAGGAGTAAAAGAAAAGTAAAAGTTCCTCTACTACGCCCACAAATATGGTCGCATTATCAAACCAGTGTTAGAAACAACCCTTTCTTCAGCACTGTATGATTTCCAAAGTTGGACTGCTTGTACAGCAATTCTAATTTCACCACTACAGTATTACTACAGGTGAGTTACTTAACCACTCTCTACACTTTGTCTGTAGAGCTGAAAAGTAACAGAATTTTCTTCATAGAACTGTTAGGATAAAAAGCAATCACACATAGTATATCCTTTACATAGAGAAATCACTTAACTTAAAACATTAGCTATGATCTTTTAATATTTAATATGATCTTTCCATGATTCTTTATGTTTTTAAAAGGTTTTTTTAATTTGATGGTAGGGGAATTTGAACTCAGGGCTTCACACTTGCTAGGCAAGCACTCTACCACTTGAGCTACTCCGCCAGAAAAAGCCTTTGTAAATGTAAATAAACAAACAAATAAAAGGTAAATTAAAAATTTTATAAATAGTAATATTCATCAGTATTTTCTAATAAAAATTAAAATAGGCATACTCATAGGCTAAATACATGTGTATCTATACACAAGAGACATATATATATGTACATTTTTTTTAATGTATTCACTATAATGATATAGACTGAGAGTATTCAGGAATAATATATAATAAGGCTAAGATTCCAGGAGAAAAAAATAAACGTGCTTTATAAAGATGGGGCCAGTAAATAAGTGGTTATGCTGTTTCTTTTTTCCTTCTGCCCAAACTGAATGTAAAATCACACATAGGGTCTCATCAACATGTACGGAAAAGGTGAGCCAGTTTCAACAACATGCCAGGTTAGCAGGGGTGTGAGCTTGACCACTCAGAAAGATAATCCAAAGTTCAAACATCTGATTACAAAATGGCTGCTTTAAGACATTTCATTTTATCATATTCCCTTCCTAATTCTACAGTTATAACTCAAACTTACCATCTTCATCAACAGTAAGATCCACAACTTCTGCTGCATTCTGCCTCAAGGGCTGTATAACAGTAGAAATCCTACTGCGGTTTCGTGGCTCCTGTGGCCGACCTGTATGAGAACTTGAACCTTGGCTCCAATGAGATCTGGAGTGTCCAAGGGTTGACCGAGACCTTAAATTATATCAATATCAAATTAGTAAATATAAAGGACAAATATTTTAATCACCCCAGAAATTCATAAGCCTTTCTTATAAAGTAAATTCTTGCTAGGCACCAGTGGCTCACACCTGTAATCCTAGCTAGTCAAGAAGCAGAGATAAGGAGGATGGAGGTTTGAAGCTAGTGTGGGCAAATATTTCACAAGATACTATCTTAAGAAAACACATCACAAAAAAGGGGCTGGTGGAGTAGCTCAAAGTATACACCCTGAGTTCAAATCCAAGTACCGAAAAAAAAAAAGTTCTTCATGCAAGACCCTCCAAAGAAATAATGGTAATAGAACCTAAAATGACTAGCACAATGCTTGGCACTCACTAAACTTTGCCGAATGAGTGCATTACCAACTAACTGACCAAAGTATGTAAGACAATGCAATGTTAGGACAATCATTAGTGTAAAATGTAAGATTCTGTTCCAAGAACACTGCTCTCTCTTCAGTGGTTATTTTGAATATTCACCTGGTTATAAATCAATTATTTACTTTATGGTAGTGCCCAAAATGATTTACAATAAAGGGAAAAATACCTACGGTATATATAAATAAATTCACCTAATGGTGAATCTTTAAGCCTAAGATGGAATTGCAAAATTTGATTGTAGAACTCCTAAACCAAGCTAAGCTTCTGGCACTGTCCTAAAAGAATTCAAAGAAATAAACAGGCACTAGAGAGATATCCTGCGGTTAGCAGCTTTATTAGTTTGGTACCTATACCACTTGTTTAAGTTGTTTTATACTTTGTAAGCTTATAATCACAAACTCTAAACACCTAGCATTTTTATAATCTTAAGTGTGTGGCACTGCATTGTTTTAAATTACTTATATACGTATACTTTTTTTTTTTTTTTAAGGATTCACTGTAATGATGTAGACTGAGGGTATTTAGGGAATAGTATCTAGAATGTGCAATCCTAAGGCTCTAGGAGGAAAAAAAAAAAACCCTGCTTTAGAAAGATGGGGCCAATAAACCACAAGTGTTTATGCTGTTTGTTTTACCCTTCCACCCAAACTGAATATAAAGTCATGTATAAGCTTCTTGTCAGCATGTACAGAAAAGATAAACCAAATCCACTAATATGCCAGATTAGCAGAGATGTGAACTTGACCACTCAAAAAGGAACCCAAGTTCAAACCAGGCTGAAAATGTCTTTAGCAATTATAAAGCCCAAGAGTTTAAAAAGGAGCTTAAATTTAAAAATGAAATTCTCAAAAAACAGGAGTATAAAAGGTTAATTCCAAAGACATTGTTAACAAATGACTGTACATGTCAGAAATAGTTGCACAACTTGAGCCATCATTTTATCTTAGGATAAAATGATGAGAGAGATCACCATTAAAAAATTGTGAGAAGCCAAGAATCTATGACGAGACTGACTGTGTATTTTCTGGGAAGACATTAAAAGTTGTAGAAAGTTCCAGATCTACTTAGCAATACTTTTATGAAAGCTTCATACAATCTCCTCACCTAAATATTCTACTGAATCACACCAGAGCACCAGCAAAAAGAAAGAAAAACTTGATGTATGATGAAGTTCACAGAGTTCTTACTTGCCACTATGATTCCTGGCAATTACCAAATACTGACATGAAAGACTCTAAAACACACAAGTATTCTCCACAGAGGAAGAACCAAAAGTAGTGACAAAGCTAACAACCCAGGTAATAATAGGAAAATAAAACACAGATCCTGAGCATTGTGGGTCATCTTCAGGATCACTGACTATTATTTGCATAAATGCATATGCTTGTTGTCAAGTTTCCATGATAAGATCTCTGGTTCCACAGGGGGGAAAAAATGTTCTTAATTTCAACAGTTGTTGTGCTCATTAAAATTGAGTCACTATGTAACTATGCATACTTACAGGATAAGTGTAGAACATACTGTAGAGTATCAATTTTCCTCAGAGCTTGGGTAAATCATTTATTTAACAATGGAAACAATTAGGGATATATTTTAGGGTGCTCACTTCCATGCCATTAGAAGTAGCATTCCAATGAGAAAGTGGCAAGTGAAGAACATACTCTAGGTGAATTTGTAGCATGCCTTAGAAAGTCTTTTTTCATAATCAACAATACACAGTAATATGCAATCTTCAAATGCACTTCTAAATTCATTCTAACACAAAAATTAAGATTCATCTATAAACCAGTTTGGTGTATCAAATGAGCAACTCTTTATTACTGTTGCCAATATTTGTATTCATCTAAAGCACAAGATGAATTTGATTTGGGGCAAGAGTCAGGGTGTTAAAGTGATTCTGCAAGAGGACAATGTCATTTCTAGAAACGTCACTAATATTACTTATCAAAATAAATGAGAATACTTCATTCATTTATTAGTTCAGAATTTATATGAAATTACTAAATGAAGAATAAAGTCATGAAAACTGTCTCAAGCTTGGTTACCCTAACAAAATAATAGCACAAATTTCACTAGAATCAATGAGTAAGATTGCAAAATAATCAGATAACAAAAAGGGTTATTTTCTAAATTCAATACCTTTTTTTCCCTTCACATTCAATTTTAGCACTATCCTCAATAATGATGTAGTAGTCACATCTAAATTCCAAAGGAGTCCATGAATTCTCTGTATTATGAAACAATTTTGTAAAACAACAAGTAAAATTATTATTTATTTAGAGCAATTTGATGCTTAAAAATATACCATCCCCTAAGATTCTAGTTTAGTTGGTCTGTGGTAAAGTCTAAACAACAATGTATCCTTATTTTACTATATCCACAGGTGATTCTAACACAGCCTGTTTGAAAACCAGTAATCTAATACAGGGCTACTCCAATTCAGTAAGTAAGGAAGAAAAAAACCTGTAAACACAATTATGCTTAAAAATTGAAATTTAAAACTTCAAATACACAATCCTAACTAAAGTCTCACCGATAGCTTTCTCCAACTGTTACAATCTCCACTTCACTGTCAGTTGAGGTAACATTAATTTCTTCATTGGCAGTGACCTGGGGAGTGAAGGAAGCTTCTATCACCACAACATCTTCATCAATACTTCCTGGAAACACAAAAGAAAAGAAGAAAAAATGAAAGAAGAGCTGAACAATAATTTTTGGGGGGATAAGATACTCAACAGAAGAGTCCTAAAATAAAGAATCAAAGCTACTATCACCAGAAATTTTAAGTGTGACTACAAAAGACGGTATTGAGAGGAAAAGCAATTGGTAGCAGGATGACACTTTTGATAGTAACTGGCATCAATATGTTGGGTAGCTATGATACTGGAATTAGTTTATGTAAAGAATATGAGCCTTGAAATTGGAATTTGGTCTAAATTCCAAATGTTGTTTACTGTGTGCTTGGCAAGACTTAAAATGTTCAAAGCATCAGGGGTTTTTGTCTGTTTGTTTGGTGGTATTGATGTTTGAACTCACAGCTTTGCACTTGCCAGGCTGGCGCCTGAGCCACATTTCCAACCCTTCTGCTCTGGTTATTTAGAAGATATTCGGCCCAGGCTGGCTTGGGCCCATTTTAAGTTTCCCACTGTTGTTGGGATTACAGATACCACCACACCCAGCTTTCTTTGGTTGAGATGAGGCCTCCCAAACATTTTTCCTGGGATGGCCTTCAACCTCAATCCTCTAATCTCAGCCTCTCAAGTAGCTAGGATTATGGGCATATGCCACTGGCATCCAGTAGCTTCTGCTTCTTCATGGGGCTAGACATGCAGGATACTGTACATAGCACAAATAATGTGTTCACAAATTGGAAATGTACACTTAAAATGTGTGAATTTGTTGTTCTACTCTCGATATGGTTTGCTTTTTTGTTTTGGTTTTTCAGTACTAATACTCAAACTCAGGGCCTTGTTCTTGCTAGGCAGGCACTCTACCACTTGAGCCACATCCCTAGTCATACTCCTAATATTCTTATGGGAAAATTCTTCTCACGCACGACGTGTAAACTTTTAACTGACATTTATATTGACAGGTGACAGAAGGATGTTTTTAAAAGGAAGCTATTCAGCACCAAATTGGTGAAAAGTCAGCAAGAAATGAAACAGAACCATTTTTGCCATTTTTAAATTCCATAGCATTGAGAAATTCACATTATTGTGAAAAAGAGTTACAGAAATTTTAAACCATGCATATCTGATACTCTAAACTACCCATTATCCCCTTTTCCTCTCCCAGCTTCCTGCTAACAACTTACTGTCTATTTCTAAAACTATGACTATCTCGGATGCCTCATATAAACAGAATCACATACTACTTGTCTTTTTGTGACTGGCTTAACTCACAGCATAGTACCAAACAAAAATGAAGATATACCATACATAAAGATCTGTACCCAAATGTTCATTCCAACATATTGATAATAGCCAAATACTAGAAACAATTCAAATGTCATTAACTGATAAATGGATAAATAAAATGTGGCATATCCATACAAGAGAATACTATAAAGGAGCTAATAACTAAATAGAAACTTATTACTTGATCCATGAATGAACCCTGAAAAATTATGCTAAGTGAAAGAATCAAACACAAAAGACCATATACTATGATTCACTTACATGAAATATCCGGAAGAGGCAAACTACAGACAGTTAGCTTATTAAAGATTGCATGAGATTGAAGGTAGTAACAGGAAATGAAAGTAAAAAGGCAGGAGGTTATAATTCAGAATTGATAGACGTATTCTAAAATTATATTGTGATACAGTCACACAGTTCTAAAGTTACAAAAACAATTACTGGATTATACATTTGAATTTTATGGTATATAAATTATACCACAATAAACCTGATTTGAAAAGAAAACTATGAAACACTCCATGAAAAATAGAAAACTAGACCTCAACAAACAAGAAGACATGCCATATTCTGGAACAGAAAAACCAAAAATCCCATAGATATAAATTCCCCCTAATCTGCAAATATAATCCAATAAAAACACTCTCATCACATGTCTTCTTACTGTCACTGTCCCCTATATGTAAACTGATAATAAAGTTCACTTGGAAGAATAAGCAAGCAAAAATATACAGGAAAACATTAAAGATTCTATTGAGTTCTACTATATAAATAGACAACTGGGACAGAATAAGATTCCATGAATAGATCAAAATGTATAAGGAAACTTAACATATGACAAAGGTGGCATCATAAGTCAAGAGGGAAAAATAAAGATATTAATGATTAGTTTGGGGATGACTGGACAGCCACATGAAAAAAAACATAAAACTGGATCCACAGCTAGAAGTACAGGTCAGCAGTAGAGTCCATCCTTAGCATACGTGAAGTTCTGAGATTAACCCTAGCACCAAATAAACAAATACATAAATAAAACTGAATTCATTCTTCATTGTACACATAGTGGCAAACATCATATGGATCTGAGTTCTAAATGTAAAAATAAACAAAACAAGGGCTACGGATGAAAATTGGTTAATTCTGTTTTAACTTTGGAGTGGGAAAATTTTTCCTAAGTATGACTCAAAATCCAGAAGCAATAAGGATAAAACATGACAAATGTGGCTTAAAACAAAAAAAGACATGATAAAAAATATAATAATGATCAACAGCCTAGTTACAAATTTGGGGGCATGTTTACATAATACAGATTTATATCTCTAAAATATTAAAAGCTTTTAACAATGATGACCAATACCATGATATTAAAAATAGGCAAAAGATATGAACACATCAATCACAGGAAAAGAAACGCAAAATACCTACAGGTTTAAACACCATGAAAAGGGCTGGGGCATGGCTTAAGTGGTAGAGTGCTTGCCTACCTAGTTCTACAAGGTTCTGAGTTCAATCCCCAGTGTTCCTCCCCCTAATAAAGATATTAAAAAGCACACTTAAGAAATAAAAATTTAACATATACTGACACTTCTCACAAGACAGACCATAACCGCTCAAATGTGATAGGATAGTCTGTTGAAGACTGGAGGGAAAAGGCACCCTCATATATTATTAGTGAGTATGCAAAATGGTTTCAATCCCCTATACAGGAAAAAAAATGAACATAATTTACAAAATATCACATGCATTTACCCAGTTTAACAATTTCCTGGAAATCTATCCCAAAGGCATACCAGCAAAACATATGAAATGACATGTACAAAAAGTTCTTTATTACAATTCTAGTTATATCAAAAATCTGAAGTTGCTCATTAATAGGAGACTAGTTGAAGGAACCATGACATAATCATATAAGGGAGTATTAACGGCTGTTTAAAAAAAAAAAAAAGAATGACCTGGTTGCCTGTGGCTCACACCTATAATCCTAGCTACTTTGGGAGGCAGAGATCAGGAAGACTGCAGTGCTAAGTCAAACCGGGCAAACAGTTCAGGACACCCTATCTTGAAAATACCCAACACAAAACAAAGCTGGAGGAAGGGTTAAAGTGGTAGAGTATCTGCCTAGCAAGCATGAGGCTGAGGCCAAATCCCAGTACCAAAAAAAAGAAAGAAACCTAGACCTTACTGAATGTATCTTGCTTTAAAGTTTGACTTTGAAGTAAGGTAACTGTTTTACATAATTCAAAATCAAAATTAAAAATTTTAAGTATCTTTTAGGAAAAAAAAACCAACAACCCTGGCCTGGGTGTGTGGCTCAAGCACCTGCCTAGCAAGTACAAGATCCTAGTACAAACCCCAGTACTGCACCCCAACACCAGCCCACAAAAAAAAGAAGAAAACAACCCTGAAGCTGGGAATGGTGGTAGCATCTGCAATCCCAGTCTGCAGGAGGCTGAGACAGGCATTTTAGTTCAAGGCCAGCCTGGACTACATAGCACTATACTTTGTCTCAAAAAAATGTGGTGGTGGTGGGAACCACCTAAGCAAATGAGCCTAAATGCATATTAAATTGCTGGCACAGCCACACAGAAAACTGGCCAAAGGCAAAAAGGGATGACAAAAAATTGGCGTTAGTAATGATTTGGGGAGAGGGGCAGTAAATGGTGAGTCTGAACTCAGGGCTTTATGCTTGCAAAGCAGGCACTATACCACTTGAGTCACACCTCCAGTCCATCTTGTTCTGGTTATTTTGGAGATAAGGTCTCTCAAACTATTTGCCTGGGCTGGTCTTACTTCAAACCTCCTGATCTCTCAGTTTCCCAAGTAGCTAAGATTATAGGCAGGAGTCACCAGCCACCGGACTGTAGTGGTGTTTTGAACTCAGGGCCTCATATCACTTGAGTTAGGCCTCCAGCCATTTTTGTTTTAGTTATTTTTCAGTCTTGTGCTTTTTACCTGGGCCAGCCTTAGACAGTGATTTTCCTACTTCTGCCTCCCATGTAGCTAGGATGAGAGGCCTGTACCATTACACTCAGCTTACTCTGTAAGATATGATCTCATTAACTTTGTTGCTCAGGTTAGCCTTGAATCTCTTACCTCTGCTTCCCAAGTAGCTGGGATTATAGGCATGAGGAAATGTTTTTATTTAGAAGTCAGTTCATTTATGATATGTATAATGGAAAGCAAATAAGTAATTGCTAATCTCAAGAATCGAGACTCTCAGCACAAAAGAGATACAAATTTAAAACAAAAACTTGCGTAGTAACTCTAATCATAAACTTAAAATAGAAATATTCATGTAAATTAATGATTTATCTTCTTCTAAAGCCTTTTTCTTTTTTCCTTAAAGACAGTCTGCCTATATAGCCCAGGCTGGCCTTGAACTCTAGATCTTACTGCCTCAGTCTCCCAAGTGCCAGGATTACAGGTATGTACCACCACACCTGATCAATCTAAAATCTCTGCCTCCTTAGTCCATTAAAAAACCAAACAGCAAGCAAAAGCCAGTAGAGCAAAATCAATTCCCAATAAAAGGAAATCAGAGGGCTGGGCACAGTGGCCTCCTGGCAGAGGATCAAGGTTTGAGGTCAGCCTGGCCAAAAATTCTGAAGACCCCGTATCAGCCAATGGCTGGGCTCAATGGAGGAGCACCTGTCATCCTAGCTAAGGGAGGGGGGAAGGAAACAAATAGAAGTATCATAATCCAGGCCAGCCTGGGCATAAAACCAGACCCTATCACAAAAATAACCAACCTAAAAAAAGGGCTGGCAGACTGGACTTGCCTAGCAAGTGCAAGGCCCTGAGTTCAATACCTAGTACCACCAACAAAATAAAAAAATAAAAGGAAATCAGGGCTAAAGAAATGTCTGTTTTCAGGTTTGGGGCAGGAAATTGCAATACTGATCTGGACCATCTTGTCCTTCAGAGAGTAAGGTGGGTATTAAGACACAGACTCAATTTGTAAATGGGATAAAACCAGCTGAGCTTCAAAATAGAGTAAAAAGACTGCAACACATCAAATACCTAAAATTGGCAGGTTCAAAATGATACCTGAAAATTTAAAAACCTCTTTGGATGCTGCTAGAGTACCAACATGTTCTGAAAAAGTAGTAAATGAAGGAACAGAATCGAGCATTCATCTTGTGTTTTCTGTGGACTGCATTTCAGAATAGGCAATTAACTGATGAAGAAGAGTCCTTCCTTATAGAAGAACCTCAACTAGTAAATGTAAGCAGAATAAGAGAATTTTAAAAATTGGTATTTTGTAATCCATAATAATAGATAGGCTAAAACTATTACATTTTATTTTGCTTTGGTTTGAAACAGGGTTTCAGTACGTAGCCCAGGTTGGTCTTGAACTAATAATCCTTCTGCCTCAGCCTCCCATGTGCTGGCACTGCAAACAATCAAGAAAACACCTTCTGAATCCTATGGTCAATCTTAATGTGTGATGGCACAGCCACACAAGATCACCAAAAAACTTGCCTGAACTGGAACTGTGTCAAGCTTTTACATCTTGTAATTCCAGTCTGTGGGAAATACAGAATACATAAAACAAATCAAATAATACCATATGCATTGAGTGTCTAAGTGAACGGATACAATGTCTAGGAATTATTCTGAAATTATCCAGGAAAAAAAGTGAAGGAGGAGAGATGAAAAATGTCAGAAAATCAGTAACTGACGTGAAATGAAGAACATGTGAGAGTTCATTGTATTTTCCATTGTTGTGGCATGTCTGAAAATTTCCCTAAAACATTATAAAAGCAAAAAATAACTAACTATAGTGCCATTGTTATAAAAATAAATATTCACACATTTAGATATAGTTCCTAGTATTAGGATTTTTACAATTCTATGAGTTGTTTATCTTTTTACCTAAACTTTTAAAATTCTTAAAAAGGCAATACAAACCAGGCATGTTGGCACACCTCAGGAGGCTGAGGCAGGATTGAGAGTTTGAAGTCAGAAGTCAGCCTGGCCTACATAGATAACAAAGCACTGTCTCAAAACAAAACAAGGAAGAAGAATAGAAAGAAAAAAGAAGGGCTGGTGGTGTGGCTAAAGTGGTAAAGCACCTGCATTGTAAGTATGAAGTTCTGGACTCAAATCCCAGTCCCATCAGAAGAAAAAAAAAAGTGCAGTCTGAAGTACACCTAAGAATCATTAGTATTACAAATATTGTTTTATCTCACTGAGCAAAACAATATCTGTAGCATGAAATAAGTTTCTAGTGATAGTATAACTTGTGGAGCCAACAAGTACTTTAGCTCACATGAAGTATATGATATGCTCTGGAAAACTGTGTTTGATAGCATGTGTTTTTGGCTAGGTATTTTTATTATCATCATGACAATCACCCACTGCTGAGTACTAGAGGAAAGGAAGCAAACTCCTTGGAAGGCATTAGCTGGTATATTCTGGTAACATTAGCTAACAAAGTTTTAAATGCATGTACCATGTGACACACTTTTAGAAATTACTCCTTAGATATGCTTATGAAGGCATGCAAAAATCTGAGTACAAGACTGCTCAGTCCAGCAAATAACCATCAACAAAAGCTGGTTAAATGAATTATGAAACATCCATACAAAGGGAACTATTCAGTCAGGTATGGTAGCTTGCACATATAATCTAAGCTATTTGAGAGGTAGAAGAAATGATGATCATGGTTTGAGACCAGCATAGCCCAAAAGTTAGCAAGACTCCATCTCAATCAAAAAGCAGATATGGTTGTGTGCACTTAAGCCCAGCTATGCAGGATGGTATCTGAGGATGGCCCCAGGCAAAAACTCAAGACCCTACTGGAAAAATAACTAGAGCAAAAAAGGGCAGGGGTCAGGGCTCAAATGGTAGAGTGCCTGCCAAACAAGCAGGAGGACCTGAGTTCAAACTTAAGTACTGCCAAATAAATAAATAAATAAGCTTTCACATTCTTTGAAGGAGATAAACTGCTAACAATTACTACTTCTGGCAATATGAACAGAACATCTGAAGAAGAGATAAATTTTTACTTCTTTTTATTACTTTTTTTTGCGGGGAGGGAGAGCATTGAGACAGGGCCTTGCTATGTTGCCCAGGCTGGCTTGAACTTGGAATCCTCCTGCCTCAGTTTCCTGAGTGCTGGGATTACTTTAGGCATGAGCCACCATGACCAGCTAAATTTTTACTTATTTTATACTTTTCCAGTGCTTTTAAAAGTCCACACCACGTGAATATTATTATTAAATAATTTTTTTAAAAAAAGCTTAAAACAAAACACTTATCTAGAAATCAGAAAATATTAGGAGTACTTCATTTTGGCTTTTTGGATTTTTGTTTCCAGAGATAAATATTTGAGAGTAATGTCTAAAAATAATACAGTTGGAAAAAACATAGTATGACTACCAACAAAGTAAAAACAAACAAACAAAAAACAAACATGCCACAGCATATATTAAACACAAGATTTAAGCTGGGTGCTGGTGGCTCACACCTACAATCCTAGCTACTCAAGAGGCAGAGATCAGGAGGATCAAGGTTCAAACCCAGCCTAGGCAAATAGTTCTAGAGACTCTATCTTGAAAAAGCCCATCACAAAAAAAGGGCCTGACGAAGTGATTTAAGCAATAAGACAGCCTCCCTAGCAAGTGTGAGGTCCTGAATTAAAAAAAAAGGAAAAAAAAATTTTAATGAATTTGGTTTATATTAATCTTGAACACTTGAGAATATATGAACTTTTTCCTTCCCAGAAAGGGACACTGATACTAACCTTCATTTGCTATCTTCTCATTCCTCTACAAATATAGGCTCCTTATAACTTCTTGTTCCACATCACTAACCACTAATTTCAGGCAGAAATTGGGCTTTGCTACTCCCTCTCCCACCACTAGAGTCTTCATGTTCTGATCCGTGGGAAAAATGTGACAAATTAAGTAAGACAACTCTTATTCTCACCTCCCTCTTTCTCAGGAGACCGCGGGGAATGACAGCCATACATTCCTCCCAGCTGTAGGTGATCTCAATGTACTCTTCTTAAAGCAAATAATCAAGTAGGTTTGAAAAAATAAACTGAACATGGCTAAGTAAGAACAAGGGCTGGAGGTATGGCACATGCCTAGCAATACTGCCAGAAAAAAACAAAAGAAGAAGAAGAAAACAAGAAGAACAAGGTTACTGACTGAACAGAAAAAGGAAGGGAAATGGAAAGGACCATACAGAGGAAGGTAAGAAAGAGAGAAAAATGGCACATCTGAATAGCACTCTAGTAGGCTCGGACTCTGACAAGCATCAGACATCAGGCAAAAACTTTGTGTATCAAAAACCATATCCTTAGTCCTTTGAAAAGTTCTCCCCATCCCCTTAAGATATTAACCTTAGTTCTCTTAGCTCAGTCTCAGCAATTTAATCTTAATTCAGTGATGGAGGGGATGAATTCAAGTATGATATATTTGATTTTAAAACTTTTATAAATGCCACAATGTACCCCCACCCAGCACAATAAAAAAAATTAAATCTCAATTCAACTTTTAAAATCGCAACCATAAAAATGATGCATTATCAGGATGGTTTGCATACATGGAACATACACACACTTCAGAATGGTCTGCACATAAACTAATTCTACTTAAATATTTACCGTGTGTGTGTGTGTGTGTGTGTGTGTGTGTGTGTATGTGTATGTGTGTGTGTGTGTGTGTGTATGCATACTTCTTCTATGAGAGAGAAGGACAGAGAGCAAGAAGGCAAAAGAATGTATGAAACTGCTCCTACTCCTCAATCATCTGCTCTACTGAGCATTGTCAGGACTAAAAATTTATGAGTCCTAGTATTTAAAGAAGTTACCACTGGGGCTGGGGTGTAGCTCACTGTTAAGAGTGCTCATCTAGCACTCTTAACTGATATGCTGGTACTGCATATCCAGTACTCCCCCCCCCCACCAAAAAAAAAGTACCACTCGAATACTTGAAAGTATCTTTCAGCTATAAAGAACATGACAAGGTAAGAGTAAATAAGAAAAACAAAGCAAAAGAAAAATATTAAGCATTTTTTTAATAACTAGAATTGTTCTTGTGATTAGACATGAAAAATTCATCATGTAGCTATCTGAAAAAGTATTCACAAAAGTTAAGCATACTAAAGAAGTACAAAAAGAAAAAAATTTTGTACCATAAATCAAATCAGTAACTCATTTAAAATATGAGTTAATCATGCACAAAATCATGCAAATGGTTAGTCTAAAAAATTTTTTAGTTTATTTTTGTCACTAGAAATATTTTTACTTTAGAATTAAGAGTCATGGTTTACTATTACAGATGGTACTTTATGTGGTTTAAAAATAAAAGTTAATAGAACTTGATATGCCTTTTAAATATAACAAAAGCAGTAAGACATAGAAACAAATATAATACAATACCTTTTCTGTTATACTTAAACCTTCTTACCTGAGGGAGCAGCTGGATTGTTTTGGTGGTTTTCACTCGCAGAAACGAACAAATCCTCCTCTCCATCAGTTGATGAACTGGAAGAGGATTCGCTGCTGAGGTCATTCTCACTGGAACTACTAGAACTGGGTAGCAATGCATATTTTCTTCGGGCTAACACTTCTCGTTTTTTCCTCTGCATTAATATCCTTTCTTTTTGCTTCTGTGTCCTCTGTGAGGAATTATTTTTTACAAATCTCTTTCTGCATGGAAGTCTCCTTAATGAACTACTATGAAAACAGGGTCTTTTCATTAACAATCCCGACACAGATTCTGTCTCAGTCCGAGGCCACTTTTGGGACCGTGCACTATGACTTCTACTTTTAGCATTCAAAATGGTCTGGGAATGTCTTACTGAGACTTCTTTATCCTCATCTGAAGTCACAGTATCAGAATCTCCAAAATGCAGACTAGATGATGGAGAAGACAGACAGTCACTAAAGGAGGAATCATTATCTTCATCACTTGGTGTTTCTACATGTTGCCTCAATCCTAATATTCCCTGATTTTCTTTAACACAATTCTGCATAAATGAAGGGCCAGCCTGCTGGCTTTTGCGTTTTTTTCTCACAACACTTTTTTCTTGTTCTTGCTGGTTACCATTCATGTCCTTCTCTTGTTTTTGAGAATCATCACACAAGTGAGAGAATTCATTCCCCACTTTACTATTAATCATCTCAACTCCTGCAGGAAAACTTTTGGCTACCCCAATGGGCTGTGAATGCAAAAGGATCCCTTTCAGACTCTCCTGTGTCTTTGGTGCATCAGAAGGAATCTCACTCTTCATATCCACTTTTAAGGTATAGAGCTTGTTATATTCAGGAGTCCATTGAGACATGGGAGACTTTAAGGAAGGCCTAGAAGACACAATAAGAAATTTAAAAGACTTTTTAACATGGTCTATCACACTATTTAATTGAAGACTTCCAAAATTCTACCAACAACATCCTTTGTAATAGGACACAAAATGGGTGTAGTGAGTCATTTTACTGATCTTATAAAACACTTCTCCCTATTAGCTCTACTTACATCACTAATTTTTAGAAAAGTAGTAACTATTACAGAATATAAGCCTATTTGAAAACTCCTATTAGCCAAAATCTGATCTTACTATCCAACTTGATAGCTTTGGCAATATGACATATTTAATCAAAATTAAACAATTTCTTCAAAATTTATCTTAATAAATTTATCTAGAGAAAAGGATTAGAATTCAAAATACTACCACATGATCCAGAAATTTCACTACTGAATATGTACATAAAATGAAATCAATCTGTTCAAGAGACATCTGTACACCCATGTTCACTGCAATACCATTCACAATAGCCAAGAAATGGGAACAATCTACATGTCCATCAACCTGACGGATAAAGAAAATGTGTTACATATACACAACACAGTACCATTCAGCCATAAAAAAGAATGAAACCCTGTCATTTATGACAACAGGAAATCATTATGTTGAATGAGAAAAGCCACACAGAAAGACAAGTAAGAAAGTTTATCTTGTGCTGGGGGGGAGGGACGAGGAGATGTCACTCAGGAGGTAGCGGGACTGCCTAGCAACCTTGTGGCCCTGAGTTCGAACCCCAATTCTGGGAGGAAAAAAAAAAAAATGTTGATCCCATAGAAGTTGATACTGAAAATGGGAGTGAAGAGGAGATAAAAACAGGCATATTAATGAGTACTAGTTAGATAGGAGTAAAAAGTTCTGGTGCTCTACTGCACAGTGGAGTGACTATATGTATATTTCAAAAACTAGAAAAGATAGGTATGTTTAACCTAATTTAAATATTATTTAAAATATATATATATATAAATATATGGTACCCTATAAGTATGTACAATTTTTGTTTTTAAGTATCACTTAAATATAAATTTAAAATTTAAGGAAATAAAAAAGTATAAAAAAGAATTCAAAAGATTGGTTAGTTAACATGTGTATATTTTTATTTTATTTTATTTTATTTTATTTTTGGCAGTACTGGGGCTTCAAACTCAGGGTCTTACACTTGCTAGGCAGGCACTCTACCACGTGAGCCACTCTGCCAGTGTGACATTTTTAAAGCAGTAATTACTGAATATTTTCTGTACATTTAGATGGTTGCTACATTCAATGGGTTACTATAAACAATGAACTAATGTGAATATAGCTTCTTTTTCCTAGTTCTTTCTTCATATACTCTAATAATCTGAATTGTGATACACAGTAGGGCACAACTACTGTGTTTCAGTTTTAGACACAGCTACTGAAGATTATTCGATTAAATAAGTGGTCACAGAAAACAAAATCGAACTTCCTACAACTAATCCAAATGTACCTAAACTGGCCTCTGAAATTATGGGTTGATGAACAAGGGAACTTGAGTTTAAAGCATCTGCATTAATGTAATCTCAAACGTACAAGAATGTAGTAGTAGTAATAAGCTCCTGACTCATTGTACTAGTCCAAATATGAATCTCTTAAGCAATGTTAACACACTTTTGTTTTTGAGACGGGGTCTCATTATGTGGCCTAGCTGGTCTCAAATCCCCAGGCTCAGGAATCCTCTGCCTCAGCTTTCAGAGCAGTTGAGATTACAGGTCTTTCTTTCTTTCCTGTCTTGCCTTTCTTCCTCACTCCCTCCCCTAACTTCCTTTATTTCTTTTTCTTTCCTTCCCCCCTCCCCTCATCCTCCCTCCCTTCCTTCATCAACATATTTTCTAACTTGTTTTTATCAAGTAAGTTTAGAGACTGATGAACCTCTACAAAGTGAACACTTAGGTCACCAGCACCCAGATGAAGTCACATAACCAACATCCCACAAATCCTCTTCCTATCACTAGTACCGAGCAAGAGATGTAACCATTATAAACTAACTTTAAAACCATAGATCTGTTTTACCATTAGCATATATTATTAAACCACTTCCTTTGATGAAAATCAGTATTTAGTAGCAAGTTATTTCCTCTCTCCTTAAACAGTTACCAAAATACATATCTCATAGTTCTTGCACTTTATTTTACTTTATATTATCGCAAAAACTCAGTAAAAAAAAATGGAGATACCTATTTCAATGGAAAGCTATCAAACTACCTATCTACCATTATTCTTTTTTTTCCTTTTTTTTTTTAGTACAGGGGTTTGAATTTAGGGCCTTGCACTTGCTCTATTATTCTTATTTACAAGGACAGGCAGTGTGCTGTATCCAAGATCAGTGATCAAGGCTTGTCTGGAGTTCAACACAATCAGTGGTAAATTAGGAACACAAAGATGAATGACTATATGGGTATGACATTGACAGACAAAGCAGAATAGTCAAGGGATTCTAAAATGTTTCTTAAAATCTGAAACTGGAAATTTTCATCATTACAGTTGCATTTTCAATGTATCACATAGTAATACAATATGGAAAAAACTGAAAGGGGCTAAAACTGGAGGCAGAAAAACTCCAGTTAAATGCTTATTGCTACATAATGTGAAAAAATATAAGAATACAGAATAAGGGAGTAGCAATTAGAAGAGTAAGCATAAAATCTAGATAATGAATCACCAGGATTTTGTTAACCTTTGGATAAGAAATACCTACTGCTACCGTCCTATTGCATATTATTGTAATCTTTTCCTACCGCAACAGATTCCTAGTTAGTTCTCTTATTTCTAACAATCCCTTTCTATGTACTTGCATGTACTCCAAGAATATAAGTCAGATGTCACATCCCTGGTTAAAATCGTCAGTGGTTTCCAAATGTTCCAAAAATAAAATTCCAACTTTTCAGCATTATTCACAAGACCCTCTATGATCTCATGTCTTATCTGTATCTCTTACCACATCATCTCTTTATCACTAGATTGCAGCCAAACTGGCCTTCTTTCTGTTCCTTGACCAACAAGCTTTATTTACCTCAGGGCCCTTGCACTTGATGGGCTCCCTGCCTACAATGCTTTTCCCAAAAATATTTGAAAGGCTACCTTGCTTCTGCTCACCATTCAGGTCCTGGCTTAAATACCATAAATTTGGAGACGTCTCCTGATCGTTCTGTGGCAGCCAGGAGATTGTGACTTGCAGACTTCCAATCTAGGTGAGTTTAACTGATCAAGATCCCCAGTTGCTATGTTGTGAACCCCATCACTGCATCGACCCAAAGACACACTTCCCACTGGCCATCCTGAAGTGTGACGAGGATATTAAATTTTGCCTGTCCCTGGAAAACACAAGACTCCTACAATGGTATACTGGCTCTAGGGCTCCTGATAACCTTGCTGAAACTTCCTGATTTCACCCAACTTTCCTTACTTTTTTCACTCAGAATCAGACTTACACAGTGATCTGACAGCTCTGTCTTCCCTGGCTCCATCCTCATTTTCCCTCAGGCATTTCTTCTTACAAAATCTTTAAAAGTGTATTTCAGATAACACTAGCATCAGGGTAAAAAAGCAACTCACAAAATGGCAGAACGAACATATCTGCAAATCATATTATCTGACAAGGGATTGATAAACAGGATATATAAAGAACTCCTGGAACTCAGCAACAACAACAGAACAATCTCATTTAATAAAATGAGTGAAGTCCACTACTCAGGTGGCAGAGATCAGGAGGATGGTGGTTTGAGGCTAGCACAGGCAAAAAGATAGTGAGACCCCCATCTCAACCATAACCCAGGTATAGTGGTTTATACCTTAACCCCACTTACAGAGAAGGCTGTACGTGGGAGAATTAAGGTCCAAGGCCAGCCCCAGGCAAAAATGACTGACTCTGTTGGACAAATACAACAAAAAAGGGTCAGGGGCATGGCTCAAGTGATAGCCTGCTTAGAAAGCCTGAGGCCCTAAGTACAAACTCCAGTACAGGAAGGAAAAAGAAAAAAGGATCTTTTTTGGGAAGGAGAGGGGACTTAGTTATTTCTACAAAGAAGATGTGTAAGCAGCCAATAAGCACATGAAAACATGCTCAATTACATTAACCAATTATTAAGGAAATGCAAGTCAAAAAATAAAAGATACAACCTCACACCCATTAGAATGGCTTTTATCAAAAACAAAATAACAGATGCTGGCAAGATATGAAGAAACTGGAATCTTTGTTCACTGCTGATGAGGCTGTAAAATGGTACAACTATGGAAAACAGTACAGACATTCCTCAAAAAAAAGATGGAGGGGATGAATTCAAGTATGATATATTTGATATATTGTAATAACTTGTATTTTGTAAATGCCACAATGTACCCCCAGCACAAAAATTTTAAAAAAAGAAAACAAAATAAATATAGAATCACCATATAATCCAGCAATTCCAATTTTGAGAATATCCCTAAAATAAATGAAAACAGGGACTTGAACAGATACTTGAACATCCATTAATTATAGCAGCATTATCCACAATAACCAAAAGGTGGAAGCAGTCCAAGTGTTCATCAACAGATGACCAAAATGTGATATACACACACAATGGAATATTATTCAGCCTTAAAAAAAGAAATCCTAACACATGCTACAACATGGATGAACCTTAAAGACAGTATGCTAAGTCAAATAAGCCAGACACAGAAAGGACAAATATTGCGTGATTACAGAAAGTACTCAGAGTCGTTATTACCGTATGGAAAGTAGGGTGGTAGTTGTGACAGGCTGAGGGAAGGGGAAAATGAGTTTGTGTTTAATGAATACAGAGTTGCAATTGGGGAAGACAGAAAACATCTGGAGATGGATGGTGGGGATGGCTGCATGATGTAAATGGACTCAATGCCAGGTTGTACACTTCAAAATGGTTAAAATGAACAGAGTATAGTGATGACGCTCAGGTAGGAAGATAAGGACACAAGTTCAGGGCCAGCCTGGGCAACACAGCAAGACACCCATTTTTCATTACA